TTTTTTTTCGTAATAGAGCTCATATAAAGAGAATTTCACTCGCGGTCACTTTTTAGCCCTCGTCGAGGGCTTTGAGTGTAACCGACAGTTTTCCCTAAAGGTCAAGCCATTGACCTAGGAGCATGCAAAAAATTAGCCAGATATACTGAGCTTAAGTATCCTAAAGTCTGCGTTGAAATGACCCTCTGTTTTTCCCATAAAATACAAAGATCATATAGGGAAATACAACTGGTCCGTTTTGACCCCTTTACGAAGTTTTCCCAGATATGCCGAGTTTTTTGTGACACCCCAAGGTGTTCTCCTACCACCTCACAAAATTTCAAGGGGGGTCGTCGGAAGAATTTTTTTTTCGTAATATAGCCCATATAAGGCGCCGGTCAGTCGAGGTCAGTTTTGACCCACTCTCTGTAGACTTTTTGCCGAACCGTCACCGGCCCTCGTGTTCTATCGCCATAAGGCACCTTCGTGCCGAATTTGACGCGCCTGCGGCGCCGGGAAGTGCCCTATCGGGCACCCGACCACTTTGCTTTATATATATAGATATGACTACATTTCTATGCAGTGAATTATGGCTGTCATTTATTGCCAGGTAAAGTAAAGGCTCCAAGAAAAGCGACAGTCGTGGTATTATTGATATAGTTTCTGGACCTCTGCCAATTTGACGCTAGCGCTGCTGTATGTATAGGTATTGTTATCGGGTCAGCATGTGGTCGCTGTCTATACAGAGAAGTTGGTCTGTGTTGTATGATGTATTATGGCATTTGTGTTTGGGGGTGTTTGGGGGGAGGGTTTCAGGTTGTCCCCTAAAACGCTTTTTAAAATGTGTTTTGTTATCCCCGGTGCATTAACTCAACAATGTTGCATTTTTTGTTTGGTGTCACCCCTCTCTCCTATTATTTTATTATTTAAACGGGATAAAACATTAACACGAAATTGTACGAGTTTTCAATATTGTGTCACCGCTTAAATGGCGCCACCCGTTGTGAACACCCCCCTCCCCTTTTCTTGTAACACTACTGAAGTAAGATGTCTCTGAATTTTAAAAAAAAAATACTTTTGGCAAGTTTGTTTAAATTACAATTTCTTTCAAAAAATCAAATTTTTTTTATATTTTTTTCCGAGATGTTTGAAAGTTTTTTGCTAGTGTTCTTTCATTAGGTTGATCTACATGAACTCTACTTCTTCTGCTCCACTGGCTAATAAAACCATGGCCACAAAAATACTAGACGATGCATTTCAACAAGCAGTTTATATTTGAAACATATCTGGGATGAGGGGGGGGAGACCCCCCACTAAATCGAATTTAATATACTTTTACCAGTGTCCGTCTCCATTTTGTGCTACAAGTTTAATTAGAGTGCCCCACCTCAACCAAGAGAAAAAAGTCTGTAAGAAAAGAAACATTTTCCTCAAGATCCATCCAACTGGCTTAATATTTATTCAGTTCATAATTTGAGTAACTTCAATTCAGATTTACCAAGAACGGTAACTCATACTTAATTATTTTACGCTGTCAAACATTGACGATAGCGTCCCTTTACAATAAACAACTACTGAGGATATAAAATTACAGCTTAGGTGTCGTCCAAAGAATGACAGTCTGTCTGTTAAGTTCGATCCTTCCCAGGGAGTGTGGTATCATTTATGAACTAACCCTTACAAATAAAAGTATTATCACTAGGAATGGACTAAATATAAAATAATGAAAGTGTAATTAACCGTGCTTAATTAAGCTCTTTAATGTGTATAGAGATGAACGAGTGACAGCTAGGCTAGAAGTAATGTCCTGAATGTCATTGTTTAAAAATTTAAAGATAGTTCCTTCTCAAGCATTCAATCTATAGAAGTAGTGTGGTGGTTGTATTGTCTTGTTTTTTTTTTTTTTCTGTTTGTGGTTATTGTTTTTTCGTCCGTCAACTATAAATGGTGTCACAGTACTTGTGATGGTGTGTGAGATGAGCATAGAAAATGTGGGAAGAGAGAATAGAAGACGGGTAAGTTTGTGGGTCGGACTTATGCATTTCAAAAGTAATCTTAAAACTGAATTTCACACTTGTATGTGCATTGTGTATAGGTGTAAAAACATTACGAAGACTTGGCGAGCTTTTGGAGTTGGCAATCAAGACATTCTCACTGCAGCAGAGAACTAAAATAAGGATCTATAAGTCTAATGTACGTTCTGTACTCCTCTATGCTGCAGAGTCATGGAAACTAAACAAGAAAGTAGACAGCCGACTCAGAGGCTTTGAAAGAAGATCCCTCCAACGCATCCTCAGGATAAAGTGGGACGACAAAGTCCCGAACAAGGAAATATGGCAAAGGACAGGATTAAACGACATTGTCTCAGAAGTTAGAACGAGGAGATGGAGATGGCTGGGCCATGTCCTACGCATGAGCAAAAAAAGACTCCCCAACATGGCGCTGAAGTGGAACCCACCCGGAAAGAGAAGTAGAGGAAGACCACTGGGAACATGGAGGAGGGAGATGGAAGAAGAAGTACAGGCTACTGGCAAAACCTGGCATGAACTAAAGTGGCTCGCCCAGGACAGGGTGGAATGGCGGAGATTTGTTGTTGCCCTATACTCCACAGGGAGTGATGAGGATTAAGTAAGTAAGTAATCAAGACATTCAGTCCTTACCAGGCCTTCACGTTCTTATGGAATGATAGAATAGCTTGCAGACTCAGTGCTGTAACACATCTGGATATAGCATTTTTTTGTGCTTTCCATATATATATATATATATATATATATATATATATATATATATATATATATATATATATATATATATATATATATATATATATGAATAAGAATGTCATCCTCTCCTCCAATACTCTCTAGACTAGTCTAGACCTATGTGCAAACAAGCAGGTGTCACGTGATAAATTTAAAATGTTAACCTACAGAGTTGATATTTTAATAAGATATTTTAATACGTAAGTAAGGATTTTAAAAACCAAAAGCAGTGTAACAATTCTCTTATCCCTCTTTTCCTGTTTCATAAATACATTTTAATCAAATTAGTGGGACGGCGTGGCCTAGTGGTAGAGCTAGATTGCTAACCTAAAAGTATCGAGTTCGAATCCGGGTTCAAGTCAGTTGACCGTCCACTCTGATGGGTTAAGTAAAGGCGGCTGGGTCTTGTGCTGAACACACTATCCCTTCATATGCCGAGGTCACAGAAACAAGTGAACTCTACTTCACCTGCCCAATGGTCAGTCAGGTTCTAAAAGGGAACGTTACTTTAAAAAGTCAAATGACTTAGACCTCGATACAGAAAATATTTTTTCTCAATATATGTATTGCAAAGATTTTAAAGTTAATCCTAACAAAAAAGCTTAGCATGTTGTTTTTTTTACTATTTAAAATACTATTAAATATTCTGCTACACAATGATCTGATTTAAATGTATTTGATCTAATCTTTAGTATTGTGTAGCCTGGTAACAGTCATGCAGAAGAGAAGTCGTGAACTACGTCTCTAAGCTTATTTTCCACAGCAGAAGACAGGATCAAAGAGTTACTTTGAAATGTAACTAGAACATCTGAAGAAACTAGGCAATAGTCACATCAACGTTTCCGTAAAGTACATCCTAAAATAGCTAAAATATGCAGGAAATTTATTCAGGTAAATTCCTTTATAGTAAACAGCTTGGTCAGAGGACGCGTTGAACGACACCGAACCAAGCGGGTTGCAGACGGCTTTTGGACTACAAGTAGAAAACCACCAGCCGGCACCGGCATTGCCGGCGCAGTTTTTTGCCGGCTCCAAGTCGTTGTCGTCGTTGGGCGTTGAAAACGGCGTCGAGATGTTGGGCGGCAGACAGTTGGCGGCGGACAGGTTGAAGTACTGCAGGGAGGGGTCGACAATCGTGGCGTTCTGGAAACTGATGGCGTAGTCGGTGCTGGCGTCGCCGATACGGACGCCGTAGAAGATGTGAGAGTTCGTGTCCTGGCCCAGCCCCAGCAGCAGGACCATCGTATCAAGGTGAAGGACGGTGTTCAGGTTATGCATTTTTTCAAGCCCAATCCAAAACTCGTCCGAGCCGTTGTAAAACCCTTGGACGTACTCCGCCATTGTTCGGTTATACCGGAAGTTATCATTCTGCATGCGTATAAATAAATCCGTCCTGACCTCCAAATCGAGAAGAGCACACTCGGTCAAATAGGGGGTGGTCAAGCCTTGTAGTTGAATATAGAACGGCAGCCTGGTGTGTCTGGGGTACCCATACTCCAACAGTTCCCTACAACTCACGGCGTAACGTTCACAACTAAGCCCGACGAACCCACCATAACACGCGCAGGATCCATTCTCCGGAAACCACAATCCGCCGTTCAAACAGCTCTCAACCTCGGGCCATTTCTTGTAATAAGTAAAATTAGCGTTGCACGTCATGGCGGTTATTATCACTGGACAGTGCGTGCTGATGTAACACACTTCACTGAACAGACCAAACCCCTCGCAGGCGGCCATACTGGAACACAGGCGGGCACATTTTAACAGGTTAAATTTTTCCACAGTCACCGCTGTCAAACACCTTTTGTTGATTTTTGCGGTACCACCACAAAAAACTTGTCTTTTAAATTTTACACATGTGCCATAGGTATTAAGCAACGACAATCCAAAAAGAATCCAACTCGACTTCGATATAAAACGAAAATGTGAAAAATTCTTTTGCATTCTCACCAAAACTGTGTCAATGAAAAAAAAATATCTTTTTAACAACCATTCACGGAATGAATTGAATTTGTAGATTATTTTAAATTTTCGAAGAAAAAAAATATGTATACTAAATGTTTACGTACCTTCATTTAAGTACGTTTCGGTATTTAAGTCACTTAAAAGGATAGAAGAAAATGTTCCCTTTACTCACGAAACCAGTTTTATAAGGTACCATGTTTTATTTAAAAATCAGGCTGCCAGAACAATTTGTTGTCAACAGCAAAAATCTTAATGTCTCTATTGATTTTCTTTAATCGCGAACCATCTCAGCCCTACTTAAACTTTGTATGACCAGCCCATTACTGATTTTCTTTAAACCTAGTGTTTCGCTCAAGGTTCGATTAAATCCTAGCTTTAATGTTGTTGAGGAACGACATGGAAACGGTTGTTGACCGGCATTTTAAGATCGGATTCAAATGTCAGACCATTGTCTTGGTCAGACTTGAAAGCATGGAGTTCTAAAGATAAGTGGACGTTGGTTTGGGCAATTAGTTTTCAGCTGGTTGAACCACCGCTACAGCGTGGGGTGACGTGAAATTAGGGAACAGACGGATTCTTTTATTTATTTACTTGTAATTAATGACAAAGCTAAGTAAGAATACTAGGTGTATTTAAAAATCGTACATGTATTGAGTGCCAAATAGATCTAGAACCGGTATATAGATCTTGTACAATATGTGTACATGGCAATAACTACGACTACATAATATCCATTCAACATCTATAAACGGCTATCGTAGTGTACAACTCAAACAGCTTAAATAATCAATAGCATACTTTACCATAATAATTACAATACATGTACCTACTTTTTTGTGACAAGCTATTTATCATTCTCAGAAGTATTATGTTAACTATCTTGAAATTCTGCCTTCAATTAACATCCTTCCCACAGTCATAAATCAAGTCAAAACAACAATTAATCATGTAATGTAAATTTATTGCTATTCCTTTTTTTAAAATAGCCAATTTTTATCAAATAGCAAATGATGAACTGGACATGAGAACACAACTAGGACAATGTCCTAATGCTAAACAATCACATAATATGGCTGTATTTACAAAGATGAAATATGGATGATTAAAACATGGAGACATGATGAAAGTTAAATAAGTGAATAATGTATTCAATGATTAATTCAACAAAAGAACATATCACTGATATTCTACTTTAAACATCAAGCTGTTCTTCAACATCACTTGATGTTCTTCAAACCACACTTTATGACAGAATTGTAAGATCATGGTAAAGATACAAGCTTTAAAAAAAAACTGGGTTGTGGGTCTTGAAAAAAATTAATATTTTGAGTACTAGGCTTTAGTATAGTATAGAGCAGGGGTCTCCAAACTTTTCAGTCCGAGGGCCACATTAACTATCAAATTTCAGTTCGGGGGCCAGTTTCTTCCAGACATGTCTTTGATTTTTCTGGGCAAAGTTCCTCAGCCATCACCAACAAACGTTTTTTCCGTGGACAAAAATATCTCCGCGGGCCGGATGAGAGGACATCGCGGGCCGGATGCGGCCCGCGGGCCGTAGTTTGGAGACCCCCTGGTATAGAGTACAAAATTGATTTGTCTTCACTATTTCTTTACAATTACAACTAAGCCAGTTGAAAATATGTCCAGAAATAAAATTTCAGTTTATAAAAAAGCACAATACTGTATGTGCCAAAACAAAACAATGAAATGAGTAGAATAGGACATAGTTTAGTGTCTATTCAATACACAACACCCTTTAGGTCTGAGCACAAGCCCTGACATTATTATCAAAATATGTACACAAGATTGTAATATATTTACAATTTTATAGTATTACAGATCTTTGACTGAGGCTTAATTTTATTGAATACAGAAACACCCACATAAGCATAATTGTTTTTAACTTTTGAAGCTTCCTGTAATTGACCTAACTTCTGACGACTTATTTTTGTCAAATTAGATGTGAAAAGAAAATTTGTGAAAGAATGCTGGAATGTTGCTAGTTTAATCTTTAATTAGGGCAAAAGCAATGTGATTACCAAATTCTAAGATTCAAGCTGAAAAAAAAAAGATTTTAACTTAAACCATTAAGGAAATGTTCATAATTCAAAATTAAATCACAATTATTAATACATCTGAGCCAAATAACTTGTATTCATAGTTTAACCACTTTGTCAAATCATAAAAACAAAGTCATTGTTAGTGTTAAATTGATCCAAAGGATAGAAACAATGTATCACTTGGGGGATTTGAGATGATTAGATAAATGCACAACTGACCACATTAGGTGCTATATCTATTCTACAAAATTACAACGTTGCATCCTAATAAACATGACAGCTGTAATTAACCTTAAATATTGACTTTCAGCATACAAAAAAATGTTTATGTTGAAATAAAACTTAGAGTAGATAGCAAATTGGTAGCTCTAAACAAAGTTTAATCAACAGCTTGTTCTAACTAAAATGTAAAGTTGACAATTTTTACAAGAGTATGCAAGGAAATACAAAACTGACAATACATCAATTTAGTGCATATTTATTTATATAAGAAATCAACTCTTGCCACCTTAAACATAGTCTTTGGTGATTAAAAATAATTCATTTCTTGTGTCGCACTTCATGATAATTTTAAGTATTAAAATGTGTCTTGAAAATGTTCACGATTTGATTAAATCACTAGCCCACAACATTCAAAATAAGGCCTTTGGTGAGATCAGATGTAAACAAATCAAACCCTTCATATTGTGCTTAATCTGGCAAATTCTTTAAAAAAAAAAAATAGGTCTATTTAAATCACAACCATTGTGATCTAAATAAGAAGGTTACTCATAGCCTTAACTATTTAAAAGAATTTTTTTTTTGTCAAAACCTTTTCCCAAACAAAGTAAAAATGTGATTCTATTGGACTCTACCATAAGTACAAAAAGAGTGCAGTAGACAAACAGAAAAGTAAAAAAATAAGTGACAAAAATCTTTACGGTGCTGCAGTTTTAGGTCTATTGGAACCCACAGATTTGGAGTTCAGCAGTCTTTCAACCATTGTTCTTGCATACCGGAGGCGACTTGCTAAATCCCTTGAGCAACCATACTTCTCTATCAGGTTAAGGCGGTAAGTACGAAATTCCCTCTTCTCATCAATGTATGTCACTGCAGCCATCAAAGGACACACTATTATCTTTGTGTGGTCTTGGAAAAAGTTTATCTGGAAAGAAAAGGTTTGCTAAATTAACAACTGTATAGATTACTGCCTACATTATGAGACCATCTGCAAATACTTTATTTTTTTACAACAAAAATTGACCATCTTAGTTAATGCATTGGCCTTTAAAATGGTCGAAACCAAAATTACTTTGAAGCATTAACTCATTTGCCACTAGTGTGGTAGCTACCTTCCTAATTACCTATCCTGTTATCATGCAAAAGTGCTTCAACACTAATTTAGTACAAGAATGCACATCAGCCTGTATTTGGAATTTTTTTTTTATTTTATTTATTTTAGTCATGTAACTAAAACACTCAGAGGCAGACTTTTACCACATACATTCTAACTAATTCATAATTAAATTCAATAAATAATTCACAAAAAGTAAAACTGATTTTTATAAACTATTCAAACTATAAAAAAATGTTTAAAAATAGTTTTGAAGTTAAGTTGTTGGGGTCTTATAGCTTAGTTTCTGGTGGATTTCTGAAATAGGCTTTAGTAGCAAATGTGTTAGAAAAAAATATACACCAACCTGCAAGGTGCCATTACTAAGATGTAAAACAATAGCATTTCTTGTTCTGAACCATGTCCTAAGGAAAGGCAATCTAATCATCTCATCAGAATCACGTGGAGTCATGTTAGCACCAGCCTGTAGATATTTAATTATTAAGTTCTAACTAAAATCTGTTCACATTTTCTTCTCAATTGTTTAAAGTGCCAACACAATAAATAGTCATCTTTTCCTTTCTATCTAAAATCTAACCATACGATTAGTTAATAAAACAATAACATTAAGAGGAACTAAATATTTACATATCTTTGTAAGAAAAAGCACTAAGTAATTTAAAATTTTTAGCATAGAAAAAATGATCATTTATTTTCGACCATTTTTTTTACCCAGCATGGAGGTGTTTAAAACAATGAAGATAAAAATGTAAACCAACAAGTTAAAAACCTTGTAGTAAAAGAACTTACTTTGAGTAAATGTTCATTCATATAATTTCTGAAATATTTTAGAAGTGTGACTTTCTTTCCTAGAGATTCTGGGAATAACCTCAACGTGTGATAATGTTCCTTGCCATCTCTTTCAATGTAGTGAATGTTTCTGTAAATTAGTTATATTAAGATAATCAAATAGAAAAACTCACAAACAAATAATAGGCAGATTGACACAAGTGATTAACTGCAATTACTAAAATTCTAGACTCACTCTCCATTAGTCAGCAGAATCAACCGCGTAGAGTCATTAAAAAGCACACCAAAACTGTTGTCACAAAGTTGGTACCCCAGTCCATACTTGTCTGAATAATCAACCCACTTGCTAATCCAGTAAATAGGTATAGCTGCAGGATCTTCACACTCATCTAAAATTGAAGACAATGTATACAAAGGTAAAACCAATTTACCAAAAAAATTTTTTAGTATAAATAAAACAAAGGTTTAGTAAAAAAAATGTGCAAACTCAATATGCTTAACGCATCTGGAATGTTTAGAAATAAAGCAGTCTCACATTATACTAATTAATAGCTCAATATAGCTAGTATCTTAAATAGAAGTTTATGTCACTCTAAAATAAGTCTTTTTTAATTACTATTTTCTTTTATTAAACTGATTTGAACTGTAATAATTTATTCGCAACTTTTGTTTTCAACTTCATGTAAATGTCTTCTTTTTTTTAAAGATGGACATAATATCTAAATTTTTAAAGTCCTTAATGGATAATATCCTAAGTGTAGTTTTAATTTAGCAGATGAGTTGGACAATTAAATCTACCAGATTTTTAGAAAGTGTTTTGAAATGATTCTTGAAAAACAAAACTAATCCAAATATAATGATTTCAATAATAGCCACATCATTATTTATGCTTTTAGAAAAGGCCTTAAACTGCCATTAAAAATTGCTGGCATTGCGTCCCCTACCTTCCCCAAACAAGAATACTGAGGGCCACAATTAAAATCAGTAGACTTATAGCTATTTGAGATTGTCAGGATGTCATTCACCCCCTAATCAAGGTCAAAGCACGTTAACATAAATCAAGGAGGGTGATTTGTCTAGTCCTAATAGTGCAAGGATTTCAAAATTAATTTGAGGTGCCTAAATTACAGGAAACCGCTGTTAGAGGTTGATAAAGCATGCAGTTAAAAAATGAAGGGTAAATTTAAAATAATGATAGAAAATTATATCTAAACTACCGAGCATGCAAAATTAAAGGTAAAAAAAGGGGACCCTTCAATATAAAACATGCAACATTTTGTCAAAATAAACATGTCACATCCATTATAACCATTTAATCCCCCGTTGCTAAACACCCCTTATTTAATATAGTGTCGGGCCGATGACTCTTTCATGCAAGATTAGCGGTAAGGAAAGGAAGCTTGGGCGATGTACTCTTCATTTTATGAGAGGCAACATTTTAGATTACCATTTTCTGTATTTTAGATAAATATTTAACTGAAAATAGCGGAAAATTCAAACTAAAAGTAAAAGAATAAGCCTGCTGTAAAATTCGGAAATCCAACAAAATTCTGAATCTTGATCAACATATAATCTTAATCTAGCTATTGAAAAGAAATGCTTGTATTCGATTGTCCATTTCCCCTGATATCGGCACAGCAGACCAAGCTTAATACTCGATTTAAATAAGAATATGTGGAATGTGCATCTGGTCTGTTTATATGAAAGTCAATTTCTGTTTTTTATCCTAATTTTAAAAACGTAGTTAAAAAATCAATAAAAAAGAAAAATTGGCAGGAAAATTTGGAGAAAATGAAATTAGCTGAGGAAAATTGCAACTGAAACAGAAAAACCTGATTTCCACTAAAAATCAGAAGTCACATCCTTGCTATAGTTACTTATTGCGATAAAAATTCTCCAGTTAAAAGAAATGGAAATCCAAATTACTTTCAGTAATTTTAAACTTTTAAATTTTAACTCTTAAATCGTATGGGTTATATTTAAGTGGTTTTTTTTAATAAACCCATCAAAATTTTCATAATTTAGCAGGAGCGGCATGGCTTTTGACCAAGTTATAATAGAGTCATGTATAATTTAGATGAAAATAAATAGTAGTGACAGTATTTATTATGATAAATATTAAAGAGAAATGCAGACTTGTTTGGTTCTTCTTAAGATGGAAATTGCCAATAATAGTAATAGTAGTGTTACTTTTGTTTGCTGGATGCCCAGTTATGAATTACATAAGACTAACTAAATGCAATAAAAAGTTTAAAGAGAAAAAGAATTTTGCAACCTACCAAGTTGGGCATTAAGTCTTTCTCCTGGTTTAGCAGCGATCACAGCAGACAACTGACCACATAAGTCAGAGAGATAATAATCTCTTGGCTCATCCTCATCTGAAAATGATATGAAATAATTAGAACAAGAAATATAGAACAAGGTTTACAACATTTAATTTTAAGAGGACAAAAACACGTCTGAAAGTAGTAGTAGAATGATTGTTTAGTAATGTTGAAACATCAGTGAAGAAAAAATGTATTGAATAAAAATCTGAAAATAAGCTATGCTAAGTCTGCATGTAAAAGGCATACAAAGCATAAATTTAAGACAATTACTTTTTCTGCCAATATCAGGGCGTGTTTCTATCTCAGGTTCATTCACTCCTCTATCACTTCTTTTTTCTATTTCTCGTTTGGCTGGGTCTGCTGTGTAAGGCCTAGCTTGTACTTCTGCAAACACAATAAAACAATTTTTATTTAATAAAAAAAAACCTATTCATATATAAATTTAGCTGAGATAATGTACTGACCATTCATATCTAACAAAGGCTTTCTAGACAGACCAGAAGCTAGCAGAGCCATATCAGCACCTTCATGTGGTTGTTTAATTAAGGTGTCAAATCTGGGTACCATAGTCAAACAAGATGTTGGGAGACGTGGTGGTAAATAGCCTGTAAAAAAATTAAGTAATAGGGTACAAAATTTTTGATTACATTTATTTATTGCTGTATATTGTAATTATTAGTTATTATTTATAACAGGAAAAGTCTGTTATTAAATAGCTTTTTATTATTTAAGCAATAAAAGAAAAACAATGCTTACAAACATATGGTCATTACCTGCTGTGAAAAATGGATCTTCCATAATCTGATCCATATTGGGCCTATCTGTAGGATTTGATCTTAGCAAACGGTTTATTAAATTTCTTGCAGCTGTGCTTACTTTAGAAGGAACACTGTACTCATTCTTTTTAATACGCATATATGTGTCTTTTAGACAGGAAGTTTCAAAAGGTGGTTTGCCAACCAGCAAAGTGAACCTAAAGCAGAAAAAAAAGATGTGTATGAAATTGTAAACAATTTTTTCCGTAAGGTTTCTTCAATAAACAAAAACCTTATCTAAGCTATAAAAATACATACACAATGCATCCAAGCGACCATACATCAACTTCATAACTATGCCCTTTCTTGCCTAATACTTCTGGGGCTATATAGTTGGGGGTACCACATAATGTTCTGCAACACAATTTATACATGCAATTGATCAACAGAATTTAAAAAAACTTAACAAACATTCTTAGGAAAAACACTTTTCATTATTCTTAAAAAGGCTAAAATAATGGTTTAATAATTTAGCTTTACTCACTTCTTTCTCTCTCCCTCATAATCTAACTTGGTAGCAAGACCAAAGTCACCAATCTTTATTTCCATTTCGTCATTCAAAAACAGGTTGCCAAGCTTCAAATCCCTATGAATGACCCTGTTATTGTGCAGATACTGGCAAGCTTCAATGATTTGTCGCACAAAGTATCGAGCCTCAGGCTCTGTTACAGCCTTTCGTCTTTTATGCAACTCCATCAAAGACTAAATGTGGAAAAAATTTTTAGTAAGTGACAAATCAATTAGAAAAACTAATTTCAAATGTGTCTTGAAAACTTAGAGAAACTAAGGAACTTACCCTTCTACGGCATAATTCAAGAAGTATGTACACATTCTCACTATCCTCAAAAAAAGTATGAAACAGAACTATGTGTCTGTGTGCCACACTTCGATGAATAGCAATTTCTTGGGCCATCTGAAAACAAGCATTGCTTTAAAGTTAGAAAAGACTACTAAATAAAACTAATGATAAACCAAAACAAAAGCTTGTGTTTAACATGAAATAGTAATTATTGAAGAGAAATTAAATACATGATGGGCATACCTTGTCTTTCTGATGTTGCTTTACAAGCAAAGATTTGGAAACAATCTTTCCTGCCCATATTTCTTTAGTGTCCAAGTCTGTCAATTCGTAACATTTAGCAAATCCTCCCTGGTAACCAGTATAAAAATTTGGTAATATGTTGTATTAAAAAAAAATTTAATAAAGCAAGTTTTTTTTTTTAAAAACAAGTATTTGACCAGGAAAATATATTCCAAAAACATTAGCACAAGAAGAACCAAAGATAAATGTAGGCCCTATATAAAAATCCACATACATTTCTAGTCAGGCAACCACGCAAATTAGATTTAGTATTTGCAGGCAGAATTGTTAATTATAAAGGAGATCACACCGCCTTTGAAACCATGCAAAAAACATGGTAATAGAAGAAAATCTGCCAAGACTAAAAGCACCCTTTTCAAAAGTAATGTCCTTTGCATCCTTCAAGTGTTTGCATCTCCAATGATAGACTACTAGGAGCAATGGAAATGGAAAGTTTCCAAAATAATCAAAAATAGAAGATGGCATAGAATAGATCCAGACTGGCCATGAGCGACGGGGAAGCAGCTAGCAGGGACTGTCTTGAGGGACTGCCAGGAAAACAGAACGAGCTTTCTGTGGCCTCATTTTCTAAAGCACTAAATGAAAAAATGATGAATAATACAAATACAAAAGCCTTCTGAATAATTTTTTCATAAATTTTGTTTACAAAATATTTGAAGTAGAATCTGGAATGTGTTGAAAAAAATATAAGTAAGATGGAAAATAAAATTTGTGAAAAGCACTGGTTTTTTTTTTTAAAAGTCTTTTCATCTAATCAAACAAAACTTTATCCTGGGTATTAAACTTTCTTTTTGTATACAAAGAAAAGTTTGAGAGTACTAGATTTAGGCTATTTTACATTTTGTAAGCAGTCTAATAATATAGGTTAATAATAAGTTGTAATGTGAGGCCACATCAAGTTCAGAACCTACATTTCAGTTCACATACATCATTTAGGCCTACTCTCTGAGATGTACAGACTATAGACCTACTTCAATACAGCATTTCAGCGTAGTTATTAGATCTACCTGCTTGATTAGTTATCTTTAAATTATTTAAATGTAGGCCACCACATTTAAAATGAGGTTAAAAGTTCTTAGGCTGTTAAATGTATGGATGCCACTAAATTTTAATTTTTTATTTTAAAAAACAAAATTTTAGGCGACTAAAAAATAATTTACACAAAAACATGACCTACAGGAAAACTGCAAAATAATCAGGTCTTGAGAAAAAGTGACCAGTCATTTTTATTATTGGTGCTGCAAGATCTAGAGTATTCTAGAGACTAGATCTAGGCAGAAGTGGTAAACTAGCAGTAGCATCAATCAATAGTATCAATTGGGTTGGATAGAGGGTCTATTTTATAACTTTTTGTAAGGGACATATTTTAAGACTATAGTTGAAGTTGTTAATTACCCTAAATAGTAGTATTGCTCGCTATGGCGTCCACACCTGATGCATGACTTCCAACAATTTTTCTTATTAATTCCAGTGACCTTTTTAGAATTACTTTTTTAAATGTTTACCATGGCAGCGAAATGGCAGGTTTTTCACGTTCTAAAAACAAGCTATAGGTGGCAGGGCTAAATATGCCAGAAAAGCATTCTAAAATTGGCTTTGAAGAATGAAAGCAAAATTTATGGTGCCATTAAAAAACTTTTAAAATAGCCCAGCGAGTACAAAAATGAATTCAAGATTGTAGAACTATCAGGTTCATCAGCCTAAGAAAAAAAAATTAAATATTGCATGCCACATTTTTTTAAAAAACACTACATTTGAATGACAACCAAATTTTTTTTTAACCATGAGACAGCTAGTCCTCACTAGTGAGGAACTCTTCTAGTGCATAGTCAATTGAAAAGTCGAATTGATTCGTGGTCTGCCATGGCCTTAAACGTAAGAGTGATATAACACAGGTTGTTATAGAATTGTGTGTCCTGCCCATAGCTGAGTGACAATAATAAATATTAAATTTAGTAGATCTAGCTAGATCTAGGTCTAATTTAGGTTAAAAAGAACTTCAAGCCTCAAAATTAGTGCCTAATTGATTAAATATGAGAATGTCTATTATTCAGTGATCATGTTTAAATTGAAAATTGAGTAAGTTTTAGATTTAGTGAGAAAAACTACAATTTAAGAATTAGGCCTAGGCCATTAGTTAGGCTTAAGTTTTAAGACTTAAGAGTTTAATTAAGTTAAATTGTTAGATTCTAGAATCAAGATTTCTAGAAGTCTGGTCTAGCTTTTCGACAAAGTGAATATAGAGATTTTTAAAAACTCTTGATTCATCACAACACCAATGAAGCATTGATTTTAATTGCAATGAATGATCAGCTCCACTTGGTGATTCATTTCTTTTCTGTTGACATCACTGTAGTATTGTAACTGGAAATCCCGTTGAATAACGAGCTAGATCATCTAAGTCTAGATTCTAGTCTAGACTCTAGATTCTAGGCTTATTCAAGTTTATTTGTTTTGATCATTGTATGATCAAGAATTCATATTCAAAATCGTGACGTCTAGTCTAAAGATTTAAAAGAAAACATTTAAAATGAACAAAAATTTTGTCATAAAAATAAAAATTATAATAAAAAAACAAGATTGGACAAGTCTGAATTTCACCTTCCCGAGAAAACGTCCTCTTAGATATCGTTTTCCTGTACCAGGATCATTTAACACTTCTGGTATTGAGTCTTTAGGACGGCCATCGTCTTTCACACTTGTGCTAGCCATTATTTATTTCAAACTTTAGCAAAACATGAAGTAAAATTTAAAGGTAGGCACACAGCAGATTCCTACGAGCCCGTGATTCAAATTTAGGTAGCACCGAAATATTGGAAATAAAGCCTTTCTATTGGCTGATACTAATTCCTGTTTTTTCATTGGTTGATATGGGTTTATCTCTTAGGCTATGTCTTAAAAAACCCTAACCGGATATAGAATGTGGGATGGGCCCTGAGACCATTTAATTTTTTAAAACTATTACCATTCCGCAACGAAATATACAAATTAACTTTGAAATTATTAGCCTATGATTTATTTTATAGTAGTTATGCTTGTTTTATTGACAGAATTAGATATATCATACAATGGAGAATAAATTACTAACAGTTAATTATTTTTAACATACACTTCTTTCTAAAATATTGACTGAGCTCGGTCAACATAGAGTATCGTATATGAATCAATTGTTATTATAAATTACAAGAACATTTTCAAAAACGCGAAATAATGGCAAAAGTGTGACGTCATACTATCTGAACACCCCCCCCCACCTCTTTCCGAATCATCGCCTCAAAGTACGGACCCCCCCCCCCCCCCCCCCCAAATCCCATCTACGAGTTTGACGTCATTTTTAGATTACCCTTATATTTGATGCATGGCAGTGTTTTCTAAGCAACCTGGTCAATGCTAAATTCCTAATCAAAGTGTGTTCGTGTTTGGGTGGAAATGTGTATGTTAACAGAGAAACGCTGTAGATTTGATTAATCGGTCTTTTTTTTTAGCGCAATTTCCATTCTGGAGAATTGCGTTTATTAACCCGTCATTTCTGGATGGATGGATGAATGTATGGATGTGTGTCCGCAGCTTTAAGTCGTATCTCCTCCTCAACGAAGCAATATCGATGACTAGTTACAAAAACAATTATGTTAAGCAAGTTACGAGGATGAACATAGGCCATAAAAATTCCGGGTTTCTTTCATGGATTTCCCGGAAAAGCCAAAAAGCCTCGAAAAAATGCAGTTTTTGGCCCATATCTCGGCAACCAGACCACTTAGCGACTTGAAACATGTACCAATCGATTCCTGTCATAATTTAGAACAATATTGCCGAAGAAAGTTTTCAAAAATATCCTTTCGTTCGGTCACAAAAATTTTTTTGAAGTAATAAAAATTTGGACCGAATTAGTAGGCATTTTTTCCAACCACACCACACGCGTCATCACGTTCAATAGCTGCGCCATCACGTTCAATGGCTGCGTCATCACGTTCAGTAGCTAGGCGCGCAATGGTTTTTAGTCATGTAACTCTATTGTAAATAAAACATGTAAAATACTGAAAAAAAAATTAATAAAAAACGTTTTAATAACTAACCAATGGTTTTACTAACCCTGCTCTTGATTTACGCTACGACAGAGCTATTTTTAGATAACACAAGGAAATTGCGCTAAAATTGTCACTAGACTTTTTAATTAACTTGTTTTTTTTTTGCTTCCTAAAGCAAATTTGATACAATTAATGGGTTACCTCACTTTTGATATTATAGGTTACTAAGTAGTATGTTATCCAGTAGGGCCTACACCGTGCGTGTAAGTGGATCTAGTGTTAAAGTGTGTTTTTTTTAGAAGAGTCTTTACTGCCTTTCAAGATACCCCCTTCCACAGATGACAAATGTGTGACATTGTGAGGCTATACCTTCCAGTTAACTCGATAGCATTCCGGAGTAGCATCATCAGACAAAAATATCTACCCCAAGTTGTTGTTTGTGCAATAATCAATGAACCATCAAGCTGACCTATCACAGATAAACAAGTGTATGAACAGACCTCAATGGCATGCAGCTTATTTTTTATTGGCGTTATGTAGATCACATCTACCAATAAAATTATGCTGAAAAACATGAGAAACCAAAGAAACATGTTTGCGTGGCTAATTTTACAATTGACCTGACGACCTCTAAATGAATGTAAATAGTAAATTATATAAACAAGTTCTTTATGAGAAATAATACTGCATATAATAAAAGAGCTACCGTGGCACCTCGCTATTTAAAAAAAAATTCCCCTGCACCCTCTCTATTGTCTGGCAATATGAATGATAAATGAGCTGCATAAACATTTTATTAATCTATTTGTTTTATTAATTATTATTAAAATTTAGTTAAAAAGGCATATATAAATAGCCCGAAAATAATGTTAAATTCAAGTTTTTTAAAGTGTATGTCAAGCAAAAGTGTGACGTCAAACTTTCTGATCTCCACACATCACCCCACCCTTGTCACACATTGTCACAGAAATTTGAACCCACCGCTCCCCTCCATATTCTGACGTCATTTAGTTAATGACTATTGACAATTTTAATTTTTGAAATATTTAATCCCGTTGGGGGCTTTTGATCTTTACTTCGCTACTTGTAGCCTACACTAAACCAGGCCAATACAAACGGTAATCTCTTTGGATTACGTTTATTTAAATACTTTATTTTCGCTTCTTTGCTTTTGAAGAGGAAAAACTGTGACTAACTCTACGCATACTCATGGGTCTCTTAGGGCAGATCAATATGGTTAGGTGGGTCGTAGGTTTTTATATGAAACACCTGGCCTCACCCCAACACGCCCGCTTAATCGAGCACGTGTGTATGTACAGTCTCAGCTGTTGCATCGTGTGTTTTAAGCGGAGTACTCAACTATGAGATACATTATTTTAAACACGGTAAGCATGCATTGTATAAAGAGCAAAAGCTTCGAAACCAAAATTTATTAGATCTATATGTTTGTTTTATTTTTTAACATTATCATTATTATTCTTTGCTTTTTTAAAAATAACTATAAAATATTGTATTTTTAATAAATCATCAATATGTTTGTGGTACTCAGTAAACTGCAATAAATTAACAACTATAATTAAGCATTTTAAATGCTGCAATTTACGTTTAGAAGCCTATGTTATTTTTTCAGGTGGGTTAAAATTTAGTGGCTAGAGATAACAACTTTCCAATGCAACCGACGTATTGTAAATGATAGATTTTCTTCCAATAACTGTAATTCAATCGACCTACTTGCGTGTTTATTGTCGTTGTCGTGTAAGCGTGTGAGAGCTCTCCATAATGTGGACGCAACATGTGTACGTCAGGGGCGTAGACTGGGTCACGCCTGTCCATTATTTTAAACGATAATAGAATTTTACTATCGCTGTAATCTAGATAATTTAAATGAAGCTTACAGCAGATGGTCTGTTCATTTTAAAAGGCATTGAACTTTATATTTTAAATTTAAATGTAGACCCGCCTCTAATGCGTCGTCGATTGATGTTGTGTCATTTCTTCTCCCTCCACTACCCCTAAAGACACACCTTTGTTGTAATACGAGGAATAGTATTTTTTTCGTGTGTGTTTTGTTTTTTTCTACGCATTTTTATCGGTATAGCCTAGTTTTTATACACTGCAAACACAGTTGGTGATTCAAATGGGATTACGTCAGTAGAAGCTGAGGGGATGTGTTTGGTTAGTGTTTAGTGGAATTTCAAAATAAGATTTAATTACACTCATACTAGATCTAGCTAGTAGTTGCTGTATGCGTATCTAGTTTTTTCTGACCTTTGGAAATATGGTGAAAACTGTTTAGCGGTGGACTTATCCTGTTCAATTAAAATACATGGACGTTTTATTAAAAGTTGTGACCACATCAAAGAACGGCTAGGTATGTTTCTAGTTGCAGGTAATTATGTTTAGAAATCTTTCTATTTTAGTGAGGTTATTTTTAGTAACGAACCAGCATCATTATTTTTAAATTTTTTAGACGTAGACCATATTTTACATGAAGTGCTTTTTGGATCCGTTGTAAATATCAAATTACAATTAAACTTCTAAATATTTTAAAATTTGCTTTCAAAGTAAATAATGGTTCTCATTTGATTTATCTTGTAATTAAAAATTTAGTCATATACACATAGATCTAGATATAAGGGAGAAATGGGGGTGGGGGGGAGTTTATTTGACGATCTAAATTAAAAAAAAAAAACAATATGATGAAAAAATAAATAATTCATTTAAATTTATTATATTTTTGTGACGATTTCACAACTGATGAAAAACTCAGATAATAGACGCTATGATTAAATTTATTTTGGGGGATTGGGGGGGGGGGGGATATTCGTGAAGCTACTTAGTAGGGCCCGACAGCACATGACGATAAGGGAGGCAGGTATTATCGCCGCGCGTGACATCATTAATGGACTACCCCTTAATAAGTCATTAGACATGGGCCTGCTTAACAGGTTAGAAGCTTATACCTTCAGAAATTTGCTCTATATTTCTCACTTGCTGTTTTTGTTCCTTATACTTTTTCAGAAACAAATTTATTTACATATTATAGCAGACAGCTTTTTCAATTCAAACATGCTAGAAGAAGCAAGGAAAGACAACTCACTAGAGAGGGGACTTATGATATTGTCAGGTAGTTGAAACCCAAATCTACAAAAAAAAAAATAAAAAAAATAAACACATTTAATTTTATATTTAATTAATAATTGATATATTAAACTAGCTTTTATTTTTTTAAATGTAGAAATAAATAATATTATTAATTAATTAAGGCAGTGCCTTAAATCGTACGTAATTACCTCCCTTTCTTTTTTTAATATCTCTAATAATCTAATTCTAATCCTATTGGCCTACACCTGTGGTGGGCTTGTTAGGTCATATTTTCAAAGTTATTAGACTTTTAATGATAACAGAGTTGATATGGAATGTATCAGAGGCGTAGCGAGGGGGGGGGGGGCGGGGGGGGGGACATATGTCCCCGGGCGCCGACCTTAGGGGGGGCGCCAAATTGAAAGTTTGAGGGGGGTGCAAATGAAAAGTTCGAGGGGGGGTGCAAATCGAAAGCTTGAGGGGGGGGGTGCAAATGAAAAGTTCGAGGGGGGGGGGGTGCAAATCGAAAATTTGCTCCCGAGGGGGGCGCCAAATTGAAAGTATGTCCCCGGGCGCCGGGAAGGGTCGCTACGCCTCTGGAATGTATTAATTAAAATAGGCTAAATGTGCTGTGACTTCGACATAACTATTTGTAGCATATATATATTTATTCTTAAATATACCAGCCAACTTGGCAATACAACATTGAGTAGCATTGTATTTAACGATAGGCCTAATTAATTAACTCATTCTGTTATTGATCAATTCGCCAAAATTAATCATATTTAGTAGTGTTAGCAGGCCTAATTAATATTATTGTTATCGGCGATTTCCGCTTGAGTATAGACGATTTAGTAGCCTACAAAATTTAGATCTGGATCTATTAAACAAGAGTAAAGAAAGCCAACTCTGAAAAATGCCTAAAATAGCGCTAAAATTAAAAATAATTTGTCTCTAAATGTCTAGTATTAAGTCTAAGGCTTGTAACTGGTAACTAAGATTCTAACACTCTAGGTCTAAATCAAGTTGTATAAAAATCAAATTAGAATGTACACTGTGTAGCCTACTAATACACATCATTTAATTAATGCCTAAGTAGGCCTTGAGCCCTTGTTAGTTTGAAATAAACTCTTTACATTTGAAAATGAAAAATAAATATAAAGTTATCTTTATTAGATCTAAGTAGTATAAGTAATGATTGAAAAAGAGATGGGCCTAGTAAAAAGTGTTTTTTTTTTTTGGGGGGGGGGGGGATAAGTTTCGTTGAGGTTTTTCTTACATTAGAACAAATTGTCATTAATTTTGAGTTAAAAATGTAGATCTAGAATCTAGATCTAATTACAAAATTGTTTTTTTTAGGCGGCCAAGACAAATATGGAAACTTTCTGCTGACAATTCCAACAAACAGGCTAGAAGAACTTCAGCAATGGGGCTTTGGGGAGTTGTCTGCCCTGATCCTCCACTTGGCCAAAATAGCCAAAAGTCATAAAACATCAAAGGAAAGCTTGCCTGCAAACAGTCAAAATTCACTTGCATGTCTTGCAGATCTGAGAAATGCATCTACAGATGCTATTACTCAGATTATTGAAAGCTTAGAAGCAACTGAGGTAAAAATAAATAGTAAAAAGAAAATAGCAAGTTATAATTATATTGTAGTACTATTACTATATACTATATATTATTATATAGTATATAGGCCTATAGTCAAAGTCCTTTTAATTTTCAAATTGATTATTACTATTAGGCTTATTTATTAAGAATAGAGTGTTAGATGTGTAATCTGTATATATTTTATATAATATTCAAATTAAATATCCGAAGTATATTAATATTTAGGCCCTAGGTGCATTATTATTAGTCTAATTGACACACTTTGTAAATGTTAGTCATACTTTTTAAAAAGGACTTAATTTAATAACTTACTAAAATGATTTTGTGAGATTTAGGAAACAGCCGCATCAATAGAGGAATGGAAATAAGTCTACTTTAAAAATTACTATGAACAATTGTAATTTAAAATCTTTACTACAAATCTTTATAAAATAACTGATATAAAAGTTAATATAAATATCTTATGTATCCTTTTACAATTATTATAAATATTAAAAAACATTTGTTCTACATTAAAGCATCATAGCAGAGGAACAATTAGTGCCGTTTACTTTCTAAGCCCTGTAAAAAAAAGTAAATCACACATCCTCAAAAAATTGCTTGGTTTAAAGCCAAGCAAATCAAGGCCTAGGATTCCACTTTTTAAGGTAAAATATTTATTTTACAATAAAGTTGGCAGTTCGGTCTTTTAAAATTTGTTGTATTAAATACTGTTCATCATGGTTTTTTTAATTGGAAAAATATTATTTATTCTTCTTGCCATTGTAAAAAAGTATAGTCTAAATAATAAAAGGATAATCCCATAGGAGGCCATTATTAATGACTATGAATGCATCAGGTGCATAAAATAAACATTATTTATCAAATTGATATACTTGTTTTTTTATCCCTGAAGATCCTACTTTTCAAAACAATCCAAGAGCTTCACAATCAGATTGATGTATCTCAGCTTACTGTGGATTTCTTTGGTACACTTCAGTACAACCATACTGCGTGGATGCACTTGTACAATGTAAGAACTGAAGAAAAGTCTGGCTATTGTTGAATAATTAAATTTTTAATTTAACCTTACTAACCTTTATATGCTTCTTACATAGGTAAGAGTTATTATAAAATGCTAGCAGTTATGAGAGCTTTTTGTAACAGTGTCTCAATTAGGATTATAGTTATGACTAGAGAGAATATGGGTCCAGTCTAGAATCAGGAATTGAGTTAGGGTTGGGGTAGCAATATTAAAAGAAAAATTAGCCTTATGTATGTCTGCATGTGGTCCCATGTGTTTTGGGCACAGAAGGGAACAGATGATGTCCTGCAGATTTTGCTTAGTAAAATGAAGTCCTATCTTCTTAGGGAGTTATTCCATCATTTTTAGCATGTGACATTTTATTCAGGTGGTTATCAGGTGTATTGAAGACTGTGCCAACGTAATGACCAAACTACCCAGTGTGAAAGACAGAGTTGATCTGCTACATGAGTATGAGACAGACGGCCAGACTTCTAATCAACTGCAGCAGCTTCTAGCAGATCTGATAGAAAAGTACCATATCATTATTTCGTAAGTTTTCCTTGTTTTAAATACATATGAATTGGTTAAAAGTAAAGCTGCATTAATTGAAAACACGACTTTTTTAATGATTAGGCACTAGTGATACAGTTTCTGACAATAAATTATTCTATCACTTCCTTCAATGTTCATTTGTTTTCATGTTATTTAGATTTATGCTAGGTAAGCATTCATTCATTTTTAGCCTCTTGGCCATACGTGTTATTCGTATTCGATATAATATAAAGTAAATAGTTATAATGCCCACATTCAGGAATTTTTTTCCCCTTCAACTCTAAATATCAGCTACCAAAATAACTTTTGCCCTTTAAGGAATGGTATTGAATAGGAGGAGTTTACTAATTACATACACAATCTAATAAACTTGACAGCGTAAATCCCTTTTTGCTAGTCATTATCCTGTAGCTCAGTTAGTAGCAATTCACCTGTTACAGTATCCTGCTTCTAATTAGCATAGTTGGATGAGTTTCAAAGTTCAAAGAAAATCTATTGATCTGTAGTCTATTTGCATAAGATTACATTTTTTTATCTATCTGGAAGCTGTAAATTCCTTATTACTACTCTCTAATAAGAGCCCAACTAATTTTTACATGAAATTGATTTTTTCTTTAGAGATTCATCACTACCACTATACCTTACACTAAGCAAGCAGACCCTTTTCCTATTGGAAAATCCAGCAACTGACAGTCAGTTGTCATCAGTCCACCCAAATCTTCTCGAAGGATTTAAATTACACCTGCGTGATTTGTATTCTGCCCTTAATTGTTGGAATTCTGACCTAGAAGAAGCTTGGAAAACCACAGAAAACAGACTGACACTTTTGATAAAACTATATAAGCACAGAGAAAGAGCCAAAGAGGCAAATAATTTGTTTGATACTTTTCCTAAAATACTAACTAAGTTTTTTAATAATATTAATAGTGCATAATCATAGCGTCATAAACTTATATCAATGATATCTGATTACAGATATTGATCTTACATAGACTACTTACCATATTAAAAAAACCTACTTGATTATTAGTGATAATTCAGTTTATACCTTTTTTTTTGTTTAATTACATAATACTTTTTACTTTTTTTTTTTCTGTTTGCAGAATTTTTTATCTCTGACATCATGCTTAATCTATTAGATTTTTGTGGTGACAGATTTTATAAACTGAATATTCTGAGCCAACTTAATATTTGTATTATGGGTCACTGAATTAAACTTATTCATTTCTGATTTTTTAAATATTTTACTTTGAAGATTGAACGCAAAATCTGGGAACATTACCACCCTCTACTACAAGAGCATCCAATTGTAGGGAAAACATTAAGCCAAGCTGAGCTGTACAGAGCCCATTTCACCACAACTCTTTATGAACCTGCCAAGGTAAGCCTGACACAGCAACTAAGAAAGCCTTACACAGCCCTATAAAAAACTAAAACTTTTGTTACAAGACAACAGTAGTATATTTTTTAATAATATAGAACTACTTTAATTTTATATTCTACAATGGCTAAGACATTGGTATTCCATATAATATAATGTATATTAAACTTTGTTTGCCCCTATGTACACATGAATGAGGGGTTTACTTTTTCACCATAATAACACATATTATATTTTTACAGGAGCTACTTAGTCAAGCCACAGAAATACTAGAAGCTGTTCAGAAACTTAAGAATGGTGCAGCTGTCACAATAAATGGTGCTGTTTCTGGTCAGCTAACCAGTGTTGCTGGGGGAAGCATTGATATCAGTGACATCAGCAGCTGCTTGACCACCAGTATACAACCATTTGCCTTACAGCTCCAACACCTGCAACAGCTTTATGTCAACATTCACATCTTCCATCTCCTCTTTGAAAAGGTTTGTAAGAATGCTGGCATGTCATATTAAAGGCCCCAAAACACCCCAGTCAGAAAATAATTTTTGTAGGGATCTTGCAAATCTTGGGATGACTGTGTAGTTCATCTTAATTGTTGTACAGTGCTAAGGTGTTGATAAGTAAATATCATACATTTTAAAAAATTACGGTTCGCTAATCTTTTGTCCTCAATTAAACTTTTAATATTGCTTAATTGCCCATATTCATACATCTTCACTTACCCACAAACCCCGCCCATAAATAACATAAAATAATTGATAAAGATCATTACAATGGATATTAACAGGCACTGAGCTGGTACAAGAAAGTCTTGAAATTCATCCCTGAAAGTTTGCTCCAGAGGTGCACATTAGAATCTGAACATGCCACACTTGACCTGTCAGCTTACAGCCTCTCCCCAACAGCAGTGGAAAGTCTTGTGTTTATGCCCACTGGTAATATAAAACACCTAATATATATAGGCTTGAGAGTGCAACTTCTAAATACAAGTCAGCAATAGATCAAACTCACTAGATTAGAGAACATAAAAATTTTAAGTTGCCTTTATTTGTTCAGCAGTGCCAAAATTGTATTTTTCAATTTGTCCAAAACAAATATAAAAAAACCTTTTACGACCCAACATTAAGCAAAGCCTGCTTTTTCTTTTTCATAAAAGAGGTTGGCCTAGGAATGTGTTTATTTTGAATGATCATTACATATAGACAACACTACATGCACAAGATTTCACAAATTTATTTTTAATAGCATCCTACTAATGTTATTGTTTTCCTAATTATTTTATATTGAAAGATGAATTTTATAAGGCGGCATTAATTTTTTAGAGTGGCTGGGTGCAGTCAGGGTGTTTTTATCTCGGCATCCTCCACCAAGACCAGAGCACATTGAAAGACTAGATGAAAGTACGCCTCAACAAGTGGACAGAAAGCTTAGAGCGCAAGCTAGATCTTTAGCTCTAAGGTAACTTAAAGCTTTATTTGAAATCATCTAGCATTGTATTGTATTTAGTAAACCTGAATTACTTATTTCAATATTTACAAATACTTGGTCAACTTTTAAAAGTATTGATTTCATTATGTTGTATAACAAAAACTATCTAATACTTTTTTTTAAATGTACATTTTCAGACTTCGACTGCTGCAGCGAATACTTTCAAGTACTCGACTTCCTCTACGCCTAGTAACAGCTGTTGTTGGATGGAAAGCTGAACTTTTTGGTACTCCACAAACTGAAAAACTACCATTTAACCATCACTTGTCTAACTCATCCAAAGATAAATCAAAACCCCAGCTAGATGCAGCTCAAGCATTAAACGACTCTGTACCAAAACAACCTCCTCACAAGGTTCCAGAGAAGAGTTCCAGGAATAAGAAAACTTTAGGTTATGAACAAGAAGAGAGTTTCACATTGACTACAGGAGAATCACCTGCTAGCCCAGAGGCCATGAAAAGTTTTGAAAAATCACTGCAAAGAAAAATCCCAGTTAGAAACCTGCTAAAGTCTAAAAGTGTTGAGTTCAATTTCAACAGCTCCAGTACTGATGGGAGTGTTTTTGATTATGATAAAGCTGTGTTAGGAGCTCAACAGCTGGCCATGACTTCTGAATCTGGCGGAGTGGATGTAAAACCAAAAGCTTTTCCACGTAGGACTCGAGGATTCAGTAAAGACGTAAGGCCTATTTCTCGTAAGGAAGCAGTGAAGGATGTATTACACCATGAACAAGCTTTCTATGATCCCACAGACCTACAAGCCAGTCAAAACTCTGACCATGACTACAGTTACCTTGATCAGCGAGAGTGCAAGACAGAGTCCAGTAATGGAAATGATGAAATCAGTTTCCAAAACCAAACAGAACCAACTCCTGAGCCCCCAGAATCTGATTCTGGTCCTGCAGCTAGAAAATTATCTCACACTATGCAAGAAGAAGAAAAGCAGATTGATAAGTTTACTCCCCCTAATGTTAATGAGAGATTTATTCGTCTGACCTTCACCCCTAAAGAGATCAAACAAGGCTCTGAGTCTACATTTAAATTTGATGAAATAGGCAAGATGCCGTATCATTTAGAAAATCAATATCAAGTGAAAAATTCACCTACATCTGATTTTGATATAATTGATCCCTATGACAACCTAGTAAAAAGAATTCGAGAGATCTCCTCAAGTGATTTAAATAACACGGAAAAGCTGAAGAGAGTTACTGCCCTGCTATCAGACAGCACTTTAAATAAAAGTCACAGACCAGTTGGTAATCTCAGCTCCTCAAAGCATTCAGTCTCTACACTAGACTTGAGACCACGGGCACAACACATTGATTACAGAACAGATGACTACCATAATGAGAGGCCTGTGGACTCTGTGCTTAGAATGAAAAGAAACTTAGCAAAATCTATGGAAGAATTAAATGTCATTTGTTCAAATACAGAAAGTTTACCTGCTGTTTCACAAGAATCAAATCCTGCAACTGGGAGGTATGTGTCTGGTTCAAGCACTTTACCTCACAGCAGGCATGCATTTGGAACCAGCGCCTTACCTGGTGGCAGGTATGTTTCTGAGCTGAAAATTTTACCTCTGTATCAACTCCCTGGAGGAGAAACAAAAGAAATAAATCCCCCAAAACCAAAAAGAACACCAGTCTCCATGTCAGATGTGGAGGCTTCACAAAGTCAACATCGAGATGACCAAAGAAAAAATTACAGTTGGTCGGATCAGGACTCTTTCAGTCCCAGCTCTAGCTGGACATCCAACAGACAAGATGTGCCTTTAATGGCAGCAAACTTCAACACAATGTCAGACTCTAGTTCCTTGTCTGCCAACCAAGCACCTTCACATTTACATAGCAGACACAGCCAAGAACTTGACAGCCCACATACAAGACCATCAAGCTTGAGCTTGTATTCAAGCAGGAATTTCTTATCACCATCATTCTTACGCCCTGCATCATCCATGAGAGAACTGAACACTGCAGTGCCTTCCCTTGTGTACAGCCACCATCAAGACACAGACCCAGACTCTGATTATTTGGCATTGGAAGATATTGAGATGTTAAGAACACTTCAAGAGGATCCTCTTTCCAATCAGTTTTCAAAGCTCAGTTCTAGCACTGATAAAAAATATCAAAGAAGGAGATCTAATGAAAATGTAAAGAAAAAAGATGAAAGCAAACCTGTTGTGGAAGAAAACTATTCACCGATACGAACAAGATTTCCAATTTTATTTAAGGATCTACATAGAGACAGTGTATCCATACCGGATATTCATGTGAACTACCTTTCATTCTTAGAAAGTTTTGATAGTCCTGAAAAAGCAGGACATGAAGAGGAGTTTCGTTTTTTACAGTCAACAAACTATGACAGGTGAGAGCTCTTCGTGTTTATTATCAGCCTAGTTCAATGAAAGAATTTTCCACAGAAAAAAATTGCTAAGGCTTTTGATTTCAACTTTTTCTGTATTTATAAGAATCATTAAGCTCTTGATAATGTTCAATGTAGAATATATTTTTTTAAGGAAAAGAAATACAATTTTATCTTTAGGCCTAATACTTTTGTTTTACCATATAAGTCTATTATTAAAGTAATTTGGTAATTTTACTGGAATAGAATATTATAATGTAAAGAAGTTTCTAAAATAATAAATTTCATTTAGACAAATATTTACATGGATGTGTTTCAGGTTGACAATTGAAGCTGATCATGAATACTTAAGTCAAGAGGAGGTAGCAGACAGTCTGAGGAAAACTCAAAGAATTCTAGAAGTTTGTACTAGTTGATATAATATAGATATCTATTATATAAGTATTATAGTTTTCTCATATTATTATATTGGATAAAGTAAAATACTTCAGTTTCATGTACAGCATAACAACAAACTAATAAGTTTATAAAGTTATACTTCATTTCAAGTCTTGCTCTGTTACCACATATTGTCCTAATATTGTGTCAACCACCTTTTCTTTTTTGATTCATTGGTGGCTATTGCATATCCTAAAGATTTTTATTAAAATACTAAAGTAACCAGTTTTATTTTTTGAAAAATAGACATATCTAAAATTCTAACAGAAGATACTTTACAACAATTTATACTATATACTATATACATCTGTTTATTATTAATCAGCATAACTCTTTTTAAAAGGAGGAAGAAAACAAAAGACAACACTTGGACCATGATATTTCTGATCTTAGTGCTGATGATGAAGTAGGGGAGGGAATTTTGAGAGGAGCCAGAGGCTTGAGCAACACAACATCTATTGACAATGGCTATGGATCTTGGGCCAGTAAATTAGTGTCAGCACTGAGCACTAGCTCAGAGGGCCCTGAATTAGAAGCAGATAGAGGTAAGTTTTATTTTATTTCATTTGTCCACAAGTTTTTAACTAGTTAACTATAGCTTTACACATGAGATTTTAGAATGTACTAATGTATATGGGTAAAAGATGTATATAATGTTCTGTCATTTATTTTTACATTGTTTCTTCAATACATAATATAATAATATACATAATAGAAGCTTACAGTTAAAAGTGGAATTAACTATAAACTTTAACTACAGCTCTGTGAATGATTTAGGGCCTATATACTGCCTGCATGAGCTAAAAGAGTTGCAAATCCCAACTTTATAGCCTATACTATGCAATGTATAATTTATATTATATGTGTACTAATATATATAGTTTTGTAATTTCTAAAAGACTATTAATGCGATTAATACTTTTCTCTTTACAGACAGACCACTGGCAGATTCTGACCTTTACTGAAACAAGGCACCAACGTTATGATGACAGTTTTATTATGCATAAGTGCAATCATGTATTTTAATTGTTATTAGTTGTAAAAATATAGCAATTTTTTAATGAACTAAATAAATCTAAATATAATTTTTAAAAGGTTACCCATCATGGAAATACAAAAATATAATAAGCATGTTAAAATTTTTATCCCAAATATATCTTTCTGTATACCACCTACTCACCAGATTAGTAAGTTTGTATATTTATCTATATTTCATAGTTTCTAATTAAATAAATCGAATATAAATAATGTTAATAACTAAAAACTATTTTTTTAAATGTAATTAAATAGCAGATTAATATATTTGCTAAAATTAAGTTGATTTTCCTCATAATAAAGAGCATTTAATATATTTTGCTTTAAAGTAAAGGAAACTAGCAAATAATAAGTTCACTCACTATGAAGTAAATAAAATAAAGGCATTTGGTATTTTTTTGGTACATACATAACAAACGGGTCATCCATAAATGACTTCCGTTTTATTTGCACATTTTTTTCCATACCCATCCTATGCTTATAACACATCAATTTTTTCACTTCTTAGTTCAAGAAACATTTTTTCTAGGAATCTGATGTAATGTATGGATGACAACCTGAGCTAGAGCAGTAGGGCAATATTAAAATTGCATTAAACCAAAAAACATTTATGTTAAACAACAATAATTATAAATATTTTATTTTTAATCATTATTTCTTATGAGTAAAAAAAATATAGTTAAGTTAGGTTTTGAATCTGTTGTCCCATTAGGGCAGGTGAAGTAGAGTTCACCTGTGTCTGTGACCTCAGCATATGAAGGGATAGTGTGGTCAGCACAATGCCCTGCCACTTTCAATTTCCCTAACGTAAGTCAGGTACCCATCAGAGTTGGGTGGACTCAGGGACATTTTACAACCCTATCCAGGGACCCGAAGCAGTCAAACACTCTACCATTCGACAATGATTTCCCATGAGATCCTGCAATATTTTTAAATCATTATCCCCAATCTGATTAAAATTTCCTTTTGTCTTCTGCAAAAATGTTATCCCTTTAAAGTTGTGATACTATAGGCCTATCTGTAAATTGCTACAATGCCTAGTTCAAATGATATTATTTTGTTAAATCAAAACTGTATATACATTAATTTATCTTTTGTCTTCTTACAGAACAAATATAGTCCTGCTTTTGTTAAATTCTTTATTCATAATTAATTACTTATCTTCCAAAAATTTCTGTATAGATGTAAGGGTCTTTGGTAATTAAATTTTGAATAAAAATGTACTATTTGTTATTTAACATTGTGCACTTAATTAATAGTGTTTGTAATCAATATTTATCTTGATTGTACTATTTGTTGATTTATTTGCCATTTGTAAATAAATTGAAAAATAAAAGGTGTATATTAATAATACATTAACAAAATAGAATACCTGTGGCAGAAGAAACAATGGTGTCATGTTTAGCATTCTATTGTACTAATAGTCATTGTTTTGTAATGAAGTATGAATCAGTAATGTTTATGATACAGTGCCCCCCTTCTAGAGATGCCTGAAAGAAACAATGAAAGAAGGGGGAGGAAGATAAGTCACCCCAGTAAACCACTAGATCGCCAAGCCACCGCTAGATAGGATTCAGCCAATGTGCATTATCAGCCAAGGCTACGGCAGTCCAGAAAATTTGTCGTTTCAATTAATATGATGATTTAGACCAGAGCCGTAGAGACCCATTTTGGCACCCGTGCCGAACTATCAATTTTGATCCCTTCTTTCCGTTTCTATATATAGTTATTCCTGACTGTGAAAAAGCGCCCCCCTCCCCAAGTTGGAAAGGTTTGTAGCGCTTCTTACCAGCTGTTATCCCGTAACAGTTTCTATTTTGGTGCCACAAAATTGTTAAATCATTGTGTAAAGCCTTCTTGTGTTTTATTTTCGAACCGTTGATTGTGTATAAATACTATAATTAAATACTTCAGATTTTTAATTATTATTTTACTCCCTTTGGTGACCCATTAAGGTCGGCGCCCAGGACGGCCACCCCACCCACCCTCCACTAGCTACGCCACTGACTTGGACTTGTTGACAAGCTTGAACGTCTATCACGACCAACATCGTGTTCAAAAGAAGAAAACACGCAAAAGAGAAACCCCAAATAATGCATAAAAACATTGTAATAATTTTAAATAATTTAATTATGCACTAAAAAGGAAAAAGGTAAATGATTTCCTTTAAATATATAATAAGAGGTCATCCATAAATGACGTCACGCTTTTTTGGACGATTTTTACCGCCCCCCCCCCCCCTCCCCTCCGTCACACATCGTCACAAAAAGCCAGACCCCACCCCTATAATGACGTCACACCTCAGCCTTCAATCCCTCTCAAAATTGCAGTTGAATTTTTCTTAAAACATTCATGTTTTTTTTTCCAAAATCTTGTCTGAACTCTGTCTAAATAGAGCATTTTAATCAATTCCCACGTCTAAAATTCGTTTTCTAACATTGCTTTTTTACAATGCAAAAGTAGGACGTCGCACGATCTGACCCCCCCCCCCCCCTCCCCCTCATCACACACCGTCACAAAATTACGGACCCCCCTCTTCCCCTTACAAGTGTGACGTCTTTTATGGACGACCTCTAATGAACTTTTAAAATTTGTTGCGGGCTTATCTTGAAAAGATCCAATTTCCCTAGTTGCTTGCCCAAACTTAATCAGGTGCGTTGTGTGGCTGAATTACTAAACTGCAGCAGCTCAATAGCTACTCAACTATGACAGAAAACTATTAAATCAAAGGAGTGGAGCCCAGGCCACTATACAGCTGTTTACTTGTAATGTTTTTTGACATCACAGAATATGTTTAAATATTTTGACATAGTATTTTGTAAAGAATGTATTTCCTTTTCTTAGAGTTATGCAAATAAACGGGAGCCAATCGGTTTCAGTATTCTCTAGGGATTTGCAGTAGGGATTGAAGGATAATTAAATGAACATTACATTGACTCAGGGGCGTAGCGAGGGGGGGGGGGGGGGGGGGGCGGGGGGTGCGGACCGCACCGGGTGACACCATTTAGGGGGGTGACACCAAGGTAAAAAATAGCAAAATATATAGAGAAAAACTCGAGGGGGGTGCAAATCGAAAACTTGAGGGGGGGGGGGGGTGCAAATCGAAAGTTTGAGGGGGGGGGGTGCAAATCGAAAATTTGAAAGTTTGTCCCTGGGAAGGGTCTCTATGCCTCTGGGGGGGGGGGGGGGGGGGGGTGACACCATTAAGTTCCGCACCGGGTGACACCCGACCTCGCTACGCCACTGCATTGACTGCATATTATTATTCGTAAGTATCGAGTTAGGATCACTGATTCAGTTTGTAGGATGTCATTTAGTCCTCCCAACTATAAAGGTACGTAGGTCTACTCCTGGAAAATAAAGGTGGTTAGGCACAGTGCACACCACACAAACATATCCCTTCATATTCTGTCGTCAAGAAACCTCACTTCATCTGCCTTGAACCAACGTCAAGACTGTAAGGAGCATTTTACTTTACATTATTATATAATTACAGATAAGTAAAGAACCTACCTTTAAAGAACAACAAGCAATTTATATTGTAGGGCCTACACGAAAATATTGTCCTCCAAATTTAATAGCTGAGGTAGATTGACAAACCATGACGAGAAGCCGCGTTGGTGTTAACAATCTTTATTTACAGACGCCATGATGCAAAGAGAGGAAGTGCGTGGCGAGAGAGAACTATTTATAGATAACAACATGTAAGGGACATCACTCAAGATAACAATATAAATATAATACTAATACAGAAGAGTGAGTTCCCTTGACCTCACAATTATTTCAATCTATTACATCCCTTTACCCTTAGAACACAATAACACATCTCTCAATAGAACAATTGATAGTATCCTAAACTCACCAATTATATTGTAACATGAACACTATGGTAGATTACATCCTTACAAACAATGCACAATATGCCACAACATAATCAAGATACAAAACAATAATGTCAAAGTCCTCTTGACCTTTAAAATCATAGGTCTAACTTATTTGGGACTTTGATTGTCCTGCTTGACCTTCTCAGTGGCTTTTGATTTGGTGACTCAAGATTCTGACCATCTGGATTCTCTATCTCAGGAGGTCTAGGATTTAAATCATTAACTCCAGAATTTACATTTTCTGACTCCAGACAACTTGGTTCACTCATATCAACAGAACTTGGTTGTGAAACAAACTGAGTTGATGTGAACTGTTCAGATTAGGTGGGATTGACAGATTCACACTTATTATCTGCACAAGTTATTTTTAACTTTATAAGACACAGGTCCTGTACATTGAACAATTTGACCTGGTATCCATTTTTCCTTTCTCCCATAATTTCTTAGATACACATTCTTATTAACACCAAATTCTCTTTCAAAGAATGTTTTGTCATGATTTAATGGAACTATTTTTGGATTGGCATCTGAAAGTACTAAATAGCAAAAAATCTTTTTCTTCTTTTGATGTTACCCTTTTAGTTTCTGTAAGTGCTAATGATGTTAGCAAAGTTGTTTGATGATCACATTCCTTCTTACTAATGTATTCTCTTTAAAACATTTGAAATTGCCATATCACCATAATCATTTATTAAGTTACAAGTACTTTGTTAAGGCAACTCTGACTGATAATGGACTGCATCTTCTCCATCATTTATATTATCTTCACAAAGGGTTTTAATTTCTTATTTTATATGGCCTTAAGTCATCATTCACAGACTCTTCAGGCCAACCATTCTTACAGTACTCATACACTTTTATTAAGCACTCATCTTTTGTGTTTCTCTTTTAACATCATTCACATTAACATCATTCACAGTTATATTGGAGTTATCCATGATAGTGAAGAGAACAAATACATCTTCTGGTACATAGCTCAGGCTTTGGTTTTTTAAAAAGTAATCTACTAAGACTATCTGCACTATTCTCAGATCCAGGTTTGTATTTCAATTCATAATTGTATGCAGTTAGTGTGATAGCCCATCTTTGAATTCTTGGTGAGGCATGCTCAGGTAGGGTTTTGTTTTCTCCAAATAAACCTAGCAATGGTTTATGATCTGTAAAGATGGTGAACTTCCTACCAAACAGAAACTTATGAAATTTCTTAACACCAAAAATGATGCCTAAGCCTTCCCTATCTAACTGAGAATAATTTTTCTCAGCCTGGTTCAAAGATCTACTGGCAAAAGCAATGGGTCTGTCACCCTTCTCATCCATGTGGGACAAGACTGCTCCTACACCATCTGGTGAAGCATCACATGTTAATATAAGTCTTTTCCCTGGGTCATAGTGAGTTAGTAAGGTGTCAGCAGACAAAGCCTCTTTTGCTGTATTAAAAGCAGCTTCTTGTTGTTTACCCCAGTGCCAAGTTGCATTTTTCTGTAGCAGCTTGTACAGTGGTGATAGTTTACCAGACAGATTTCCTATGAACTTTGCATAGTAATTTATTAAGCCCAAAAAAGCTCTTAGTTGTTGGGTATTTTCAGGTTTGGGTGCTTCTTTAATAGCTTTTGTTTTCTCAGGTTGAGGTCTGATGCCTTGTTTGCTCAATATATAACCAAGAAAACTAATTTCTGTCAGCATGAATTGACATTTATCTTTGTTTATCTTTAAACCTTTTTCACCAACAATTTTCAATACTTTATCTAGTGTTTTAAGATGTTCAGTGTCATTCTTACCAGTTATGTACACATTGTCAAAGTACACACAAACATTTGGAATATCCTTAAAAATACTGTCCATGACAGCTTGGAAAATTCCAGGGCTAGATGATATGCCAAAACATAGTCTTTCATATTGGTAGAGTCCTTTATGTGTGTTTATTGTCGTATAGACTTTTGAATCTGGATGCAGTTCTAGTTGAGTGTAAGCATGACTAAAGTCTAATTCAGTGAATTTGTCTCCTCCTGCCAAATTCAAAGAGATTTCCTCAATGTTAGGTATAGGGTACCTATTTAGCTCTATTTGCTTATTCAGTGTAGTTTTATAATCTCCACAAATTCTTATAGAACCATCCTTCTTTAACACTGGCACAATGGGTGTCGCCCAATCGGAATAGTCTACCTTCTTTATAATGCCATTAGATTCCAATCTACTTAGCTCATTTTCAATTTTATTCCTCATTGCATAAGGTGGAACTCTAGCTTTGCAGTATCTTGGATTTGTATCTTTAATGCTTAACTTCACTGTTCTATCATTTAGTAATCCTGGATTACTAAAAACACTTTTATTTTCAGATATAACTCTATCTAGTGAAGTAAGACCAGATTCTTTTACATTCTTCAATGAACAAATACTCTCCCAATTTAACTTAAGATCACTTAACCAGTTCCTACCTAGTAATGGCGGTCCATTTCCTTCAACCACAAGAAGAGGAAGTTTAACACTTTGACCATTATAACTTACATGAACCCTACACTCTCCTATTACCGGAACATTGTCACCAGTGTATGTTGTTAAACACTTGTGACATGGCTGTAGAGGCACTGATCCTCCTGTGACAGCGTCGAAATCTTTCTTTGTTATGACTGTTAGAGATGCTCCAGTGTCAAGTTGGAAGCTGATGCTCTTACCGTTGATATTAACTTGTACACTGATGGGAGCATGACTTATTGATTTCACAGAGAATAGGTTGAAATCCGGCTGCGAATCAGTTTGAGCATTTTCACAGGTAGAGTGGTTCATTGGTTGGGTTAGGTAGTCTTGGTGAGAGTTAACATAGTGCTGCTTTTGGTTGCGGTACTGTCTTGACTGGCTAGATTTAGCAACAGACGAAGACTTTGCAAAGCAGGCCTTGGCAATGTGACCTTGCTTACTGCACTTATAACAAGTTGCAGACTTGAACTTGCACCGATGAGATGCATGGGGACCTTTGCATCGATGACATTTTTGATAATTATTACTAGATTTAGATCTAGGATTTGAACGAGCAGGCTGTTTAGCATAAGTTGGAATGCTCGGATGGGGTTGATGTTTATTGACTAACCTGCTGTTTACTGCATGGATCTCTGAAGGTGCTAAAGATCTCGCCGCATCTGATGACTGCTGGAATGACATTGCAAGTTGTATTGCTTTTTCTAATGTTAGATCTGACTCGAGCAGCAACTTTCTTTGAATATCAGGGCTGTTTACACCTGTCACAAACTTTTCACATAATCTGTCAGACAGCGTGTCTCCGAATTCACAAAATTCACTTAAATGACGTAAAGCAGCAACATATTCTGATATTGACTCGTTTGGTTGACGAGTCCTACTGTCAAATCTAGCTCTACATAGAAACTTTGATGGGGTAGGCGCATGGTGGTCTGTTAGCAATTTGCTCAGCTCGTTAAAGCTCTTGGTATTTAGACTAGCTGGTGCGCATAAGTCTTTTAGTAGCCTAAATTGTTGAGGCCCTATGACTGTTAACAAAATAGCTCTCTTTTTGGCTTCTATCGTCACGTTGTTTGCTTCTAGGTAAAAGCTTAACCTCTCTAGGTAATCCTGAATGATTTCATCATTCGCATCAAATTCTTTCATTTGGCCATACAGCGCCATAATTCTAGAAATAATTAGCTAATAAGCTCTAGCAAACCTCTTTTTTTGCTTAAGTAGGTGCTCTTTCTAGTAGATGTTTATCCTTCGTCGCCAATTGAGGTAGATTGACAAACCATGACGAGAAGCCGCGTTGGTGTTAACAATCTTTATTTACAGACGCCATGATGCAAAGAGAGGAAGTGCGTGGCGAGAGAGAACTATTTATAGATAACAACATGTAAGGGACATCACTCAAGATAACAATATAAATATAATACTAATACAGAAGAGTGAGTTCCCTTGACCTCACAATTATTTCAATCTATTACAATAGCCTTCATTTTTTTTTGGCTGAGAGGATTAGAAGTGAAAGAAATATGATGTCTTTTTCCTACTTCCTACCAAGATATTAAAATAAAAACTTACATCACAATTATGGTCTGCCTGTATCATGGTTGGGGTAAAGGGAGGGGGGTGGTGGTGACTTTGTGAGGACATTAACGGTGGGGGGGGGGGGGGGATTCAGAGTTTCTTCAAGGCACAGCCCCCCCCTACCTCCAAACTAAAAGGAATTTACATAGAAAGTATTTACTTTTAACAGTGTCCAGCCGTCCACCCCCCACCCCCCCCCCCCCCCCGAAATTTCAAGTGCCCCTCACCCCGGTATAATTTATATATATTATTTATCTTTATATGTATAATTTATCTTTTCACTATTCTCGGCAAACATGAAATCCAATACAAACATTTTTAAAGCACGATTAATTCACGCCCAAAATGAGTTTGGACATATTTTTGTCTCTAGTTAGTTGTCTAACTTTGCAATGAAATAGGTTAAATTACTATATTATGGGATAGATTAATCTCAAATTTAGTCAAGCAGGCAACATATATATATATATATATATATATATATATATATATATATATATATATATATATATATATATATATATATATATATATATATATATAGTTAATACCGAATGGCCCTATGGTAGTATATATAATATATACTATATAGTATATTAGCCTATTTTTAGGGCCTCGATATATTATGGGCCAAAAACCTATACATAAAGATAGGCTTATAAATGTATGTAGGTCTAAATAAGTAAAATATATTTTATAAATATTCAAGAAATTATAACTATTTTTTTTTTTAAATGTCGTTTATTTGATTTTTAAAAAAATGACAGAACTTTCGTTTCGCTGTACAGTCAAAACTAAAGAAAAAGAAAAATTATAACCGGAAGTGAAAACCTACTTCCTTTTTCTTGTTTAGATTATTGAAACAGGTACGAAGCAATTTTTCTTGGTTTTAAATCGAGTAATCCTAAATAAACACTATGACCAACGTTCAAATTATTATGCAAATAATACTTCCAAATATATATGGCTGCCCAATCAAAAAGAAATATTCTCATATTTTTGTTACTACTGAACAATTAATAAAGAAATGTCTATCGATGCTAAGAGGAATGCATATAAAATTCAATAAAATTAAATACAAAGTTCCATAGTATTTCTATCCCTTTTGTTTTTTGCGCTTGTGAGTAAAGGTCATTAAAATATTCAAAGTTATTGTTACTTCTGTAAATTCTAGATTTATGTGTAATGACGTATGGACAGTGTATTTGACAAATCTCAGCGCACTAATCCAGATTACAATCAGACAATTCAATCACATTCATGCTGGTCTTTACATTTTGTATCAAACTTGCCTAGTTTAGATTTAATGCAACTTTGTTTTGGTTTATTTCAGGTCACCAAAAATGGCAATCAGACCTCTCATCAAAACTCAGATTGTAAAGAAGAGGAATAAGAAATTTATTAGACACCAATCTGACAGATATGGCAAAGTCAAGGTAGGTTAAAAAATTGGCCAATGTTAACTGGAAAAAGACACGCATACGCAATGGAGAGACACAACGACTTGCCTTTGCGGCGATGTTTTCGATGGTACTGCGCATGAGTGTGTTAACAACCGCAGAATCCTAACCTTAGCCATAGGTCACTGCGTATGCGCAGAACTATATTTTAGAGATACTCACTAATTTTAAATTTCGTTATTTTTCGATTTAAACATTACCAATGGAAACTAGAGATCAATCTCTAATCAATCAAATACTTAATTTGTTGAAAATAAACTCATTTGGAGCTTAATTACTGATTTTTATTAATTGGCCACTCCAAGCATTGCAAGCCAAATAATCCGTGACAACCAGATCGCCATTACTTTTCTGAAGAGACGAACTCTGCAGGGTTGACCTTGCAGATGATTTGATTTTAGCAGAATATGCACAGTACATTTGATTTTATTACCGCATTTCTATTCGTATGTACACTGTCTTCGTCAGAATAAAAAATCACGTAATGGAATTAGATCTAGAATTTTTAAATATTTTTATTTAAAAATATTTTTTTTTTTAAATGGAAAGGTGTTTAAAAAGGAAAACTAAATTCAAATTAATGATAACATGTTCAAGAATATATAGTATAGATCTAATCTTTTTAAAGATATTCAATCCCATGCATGTTTTATTAACTAGTGTAAGTGTTTTAGCATTGCTTAATTAGGGCAATTCATAAAATATAGCGATGTCATTGTAAAATTAATCTAACCCTCTTCTCTCACTTCACTTGGGACAGGTGTGTTATTTACAAAGTTTTGTCTATGCTCAGTTTAAAATGTAAAGATTTGTAAGTATTTGATTTATTTTAAAAAACACTGCAATAGCATTCAAATTCATCAAGTTAGCGAGAAATACATTCTAAACAGCGTCACGGGCAGTGCGCGTGACAGACATCTCGCTCGCTTAGTTTTGTCAACCAGAAAAGTTAGCCTATCAAATACAATTAATTAGGCCTATAAAATAAAAAGAGGCCAATCGCATTAAAATGATCGCCTGTGAGCGAAGATATATGCAAATTACAAACATCGCTAGCCCGCCTGCGTTCTTTTGTCAACCAGCGAGAGAAAACTCACAGCACAGTGTGCGCATGCGCTAAATCTAGTCCAAGTACTTTGTTATCCCAAGTTATAGGCCCTAATTAGTATTATAGGTCTAGATTAATATAAAGTTCAAATTAAATGTATTTAATTAAGATGTGTGTCTATTTGATTTTTCAAATGTCAGCGCATAAAAATTAATCACCCGAGAGCGAGAATTAGGCCTATGCCTATGCATTCCAAACATCGACACAGACCACGTGTGTCAAACGACTCGCTCGCTCGCGCTGGTTTGTCAGCGAGAGAGGCATCGCCCGCCACAGCGCGGGCACAGCACACATGTCCTAGTCCATGCGTACTTGGTTTACTAGGTACTAATTAGTAATGTAAACTTAGACCCAACGCTAAAATCATGTAATTTATCTATCAGGCCTCTAAAATCGTAATAATATTAACATTATTAAGCCTAATAAATGTATCAACGAAGACCAGTGAAAATATTATAATTAGCCTAATTAAAATTTATGAAATCAATAAGAATTAAGACAAATTAATTAAGCTATAACAAATTTGAAAACAAATAATGAGGCAACGAAGACCAGTGAAAATAATATTATAATTAGCCTAATTAAAATTTATGAAATCAATAAGAATTAAGCTATAACAAATTTGAAAACAAATAATTAGGCCTAAGTCATTAGCCTAAGTAAGCACACAAAGACCAACGCTCACTACTAGATCTAGATCTAATTCCAGGGATCAACAAAAAAAAAATAAAATAACAGATCGTTGTGGTTTAAGGGTTTTTAGAGTCATAGTATAATCCAAAAGTCAGGTGAAAATCCATAATTAGGCTTAATTAGTCTAATTACGCTAGCAAAATAAGCTGAAAAAGAGTGTCAAGTGAAAAGAAAACACAATTATATAAGCAGCGAGAGGATACTACTGTACAGCTTCCGTAACAATAGCGATGACGTCACAATAAAAAATAACGTGCTTTCAGTGACCTTTTTGCGATGCCGATTTCTTAAAAGGCGAACATAATATTTACAATTTTTTTTCACTAAACGATCAATCTAATAATACTCGACCTAGGCATGCAGTTTTGACACCTTAGAGACCATTATTTAAAGTTTTTGAGCTACTCAAACTGTACCCATGTTTACGTTTGACCTTTCAATGTCGGAAGCAAAAAAAAAAAAAAAAATCTGCCAAAAATAGCTTTGTCATCATTAGATTGCTTAAAATACGCGAAAAAAACGCCATTTTTCGCGTGATAATTATTTTTAAAGTTAATGTTAAGGTGGTCTCTCGAACAAAGCAGAAAAAATTGCCCAATCGTAGGCCAAGGTGTGGTAGCCATGTTCTGGTTAGCAACCAAGGACGCTTTTAAGTTAGTGAGTCTCGCTACTATATTTTGCCAGCTAGGTGGAGACGTTGAGGCGAAAAATCTTTTTCCGAGTAGTCACTTTGTAAAAAATATTAATTAACTGCATGGATGCCTACTTCTCAAGAAAGATGCAAGTAGTAAATTTGATGGCATTTGTCCCTCTTTTTTTAAAGTCAGTAAATACTAGACTAGAAAAGGTTATGGAACTACACTGTGACAAGTCTTAATTCAGCAAACAGTTATGGTAAATTGATAACGTATGTATCAGAGTGTTTGTGCAATAGAGTGGCAAAATGATAAATGCAAAAATCATGTATGGTAAAGTTTAATCATCATGGCATTGCTGACAACACTCCCTTGGTAATCATATGCTAGGGTTCACAGTAAAATGAACTGTATTACATTTTACAGTGTGTTCCTAAGTTTCTAGTTTCTTTCATGTGTTGCAAGATTTAGTAAATTTGTAACATCTAGGGCCTACTGGATTTTTTTTATCTGGTAATTTGTTTTACTTTAGGCAAACTGGCGTAAACCCAAGGGTATTGACAACAGAGTAAGGAGGAGGTTCAAGGGTCAATATAAAATGCCAAACATTGGTTATGGTACCTGGAAGAAATGCAAGCACCTCTGTCCTGATGGCTTCAAAAAGTTTTTGGTTCATAATGTTAGGGTAGGTGTTTTTGTTACGCTGTACAAATATATTTGTAGTTAAATTTAATATTACTCTTCTACATTTTATCCATATTTCATTTTTTTAGGAGCTGGAAGTATTGTTGATGCAAAACCGCACTTTCTCTGCTGAAATTGCACACAATGTCTCAAGTAAGAAGCGTAAAGATATTGTTGAGCGTGCCCAGCAACTAGCTATTAAAGTGACAAATCCAAATGCCCGTCTTCGCTCTAAGGAGGATGAATAAACTGGCAGCTTGGTTAAATTAATAAACATAAAATATATGCAAGTTGTTATTGTTTACTAATTTGTGGTCCTGTGTTATTTGTATTAGTTAGATAAAAATGGTCTTAATTCTTGTAGTTGTTGGTGATTCATCTGGTAGAGGGGCAACATTGATTTTATACCCCGCCTGCTGTAAAATGGCTTGAGTAAATCTTTTGGTAAGAATTGGGAGTAGAGCCTTGTCAGTTTTGGTATCCTTTTGGCAGCTTCTGCAAGGAGCTAGTACCAAATTTATTGCCTAGCATTCCTCTAGATACTATACCAGTGAGGTGGGAGGAGGTATCATAATGCATTTATTAACGCCCTGGAGAGGCAGGGACTCCCACTCTTAAGTGGGAATAATCAACTTCAACAGTTTGCACAAGTAAATATTGTGAGCCATATATGACTATTCGTTTAGGTTTGATTTGATCAATGTGGACTTGAAAGCAATTAAGTTGCTGTATATATCATGGGTTATTACTGATGCCAAAATGTAAATAAATATCCCATAACTTGTTACTTTTGTTAGGCAAAATCAATTATGGGTCCTGGTGGGTGGGTATTTTTGTCCCTATACCACTGGTGGCAAATTATATACTTTGGTATTTTATTCTGATGGAGTTATGTTTTTGTGATGTTGTAAGTACCTGTTACTAGTATTTAATTCAAAGCAAAATTTGTCATTTTAGAATGTCTTTAAAAATTAGCTTATGATCACTTATGCAAATAGAAGTTACATTTACAAAAACATTTAAATCTACGAGCCGACCCGCGGTGTTTCATACGCTGATATTTAGTTGTTTTATTTTCTACTTTTCAGTCATTCATAATGTGTGAATTCGACAGTATCAACGCTGCCACTGAAAATATCTGCTTTAAAACACTATCAGTAGGCCGTTAAGGACGATACCCCCCACCCCCATGAAAGCAGCCTCTTAGTTACCTCCCCTAAGTTTAAAATAGTTTCAAACTAAATTATCTGCCCCTAATAGGCGTCACTAAACCCGGCTGTTTGATTGTAAACATATAGCGTGAACCAAAGCTTACCAGACCATGTGGGGGAGGTTGCGATATGCCTAGAGAGGGGACTGCAAGGCGCGCTTACAGAGAATTATATATATACATATAGATTATCAAATTCATTTTCATAATTATCTTTAATGAAGTTAAATTCAAAATTTGGGGAAAAAAAAATCAGTAGCAGGCATATTGGTGGTATTCAAAACCATTGTTCACAAAATTATCATGAAGATGAGGTTTACTTTTAGTATTTACAAATAGTTTACAATATAAAATGCTTCATAATATTTTAAACAGACTATACATTTTCTTTAATAAAAGTATTAAATTTAAAAGCACTGCTATGTTTATTTTCAGTACATTTAAAAGATTAATACGAATATCACTATTATATTTTATGCATGTAGTTGAAATTAAAGTAATGGATCCTGTTTATGGTTTCTAATTGTTTCACATTGATAATGATTGATCCAAGTGTAACAAATCTTAGTTACAAGAACACGTTTAATTTTCAAGATAATACTTTAATTGCATTTCAATTATATAATTAATAATACAGTGCTAATAGTAATAATTACATCACTCCACAGAATCAAATTCTAAATAAAAACTTACTAAATTGTATCTTATTTTTGGCACAGTAACAGTACAGTGACAATGGTTAAATATCAAAATTAAATGGTGCAACAATGACTGTTAGTGTAGCATAGTCAAAATGAGGTGCATTCAAAGAAAAACATTGGATGTAGTTACTAAAAATATATACCTGTAGTGGTCTATTAAGTGCTTTTTAAAAATACATTTTCCATTTACATTGTCTTTGTTATAACCCATCATAAGGCGCACAAAATTATAGAAACAATATCAATACCTCTCAATGGCACATTTGAGCAAGTTTGTAACAAGTATCAGATATGTATCTATTTTAACTAAAGTCAAGATTTCTTGCCTAAAATACCAGACAGTATCGCTAAATCATCTCCAGCACGTTTCAAAATTTCTGCAGCTATTTCACCTGAAAGTAGGAAGATTTTGTTACTGTAGTGTAATTCATACAGAGCATTTTGTCACATTTTTTAATACTTAAAATGGTCCATTATAATTGTTTTGAAAACAGGTAATCTGGTTACTATTAGTATAGTTTCCAATAATTATATTTAAAAAAATTTGTTTTATGCAATATATAGAGACTGAAATTTTTTAAAACATTACTCTTAATTTATACTAAAAACAACCGGCTAAATACTGAGTTAATTTTTTTGAAAGAAAAAGTACCTACTTCCTAATTTCTCCCCTTGAACATTTTCAATTTTCTCCTTTAAACTGTTGAGCATTTTAGTTGTTGGTGTTGACGAGTCTACAGGATCAATCCGGAATGGAGGGGTTTTTGACCTGTTGCAGCATGCAGAACTCTCCCCACCCACACTCTGTAACATGGGATCTTGATTTTCAGTGTCGTGAGCCTCAACGAAAAAGGAATCCTGTGTGCTCCGATGTGTCAGCATCATCCTGAATTGTTCTGATTTACCCAAAAGTTCCCTAGCTACGAGTAGTGTATCATCACTATTTTTCCCAGAGGGAGATTCACTGAAAACTGTGTTTCTGCTGTACAATGGTCTGTCAAATAGACTTGGAGATAATGTATCACTACGCATGCTTGGCACTTTTTTACTTGTAGCTGAAAAATTGGGACTGGAGCTTCGCATGCTAGCATCAAGAATTTCTTGTACTTCTGTTTTTTTATTATTGATGTCAACTTCAAGTGAAAAGGGTGGGAAATTTAAATCCTCTCTATCCATCACAATGTCACCAGAAGTTTCATGGGTAGGCCCACTAGCAAAGTCAAATTTTTCTGTTTCTTCATTAAATGAATGTGTTAGATCTCTACTGACAGTGCTTTTTTCTTTCGATGTGCGTACATCTATCATAGTTCTAACTTTCCTGGAACGACAGGGTATGCCTTTTCTCCCCACTAAAACTTCACTGGCATACAGTTTTTCTCTAGAAGGGTGTGAGTATGCGAGAAAACTGCCATCATTGAGGCATATCTCAGAGCTGTAAGCATTAACAGTTTGGGGATGGTCTTTACCAATCCCAGCAAAGGGGCTAACATTGCATTCCATTGTTGCTAATTTTGCTTCAGGAACAAAATGAGTTGCTGCGTTGTCTAGACTGGAATAAGAGCCAGATTCGTGATTTGTTGACTGCAAGCTAGCTGTCTGGTATCCAGTGTCCTGGCTGGCTGAGCAATGAGGAACTGAAGTTGTCATGGACTCGGCTGATGTAGCGAGGGCAAGGAGAGACTGGTGAGAGCCAACCCTGCCGTCACTGTCTTGTGAGGCACAAGATATAACCAGGTGTGGATCAAAAGATCTTGATAAAGCGTCGTTGTTCAATGTGCTAGTTTCAGACTGTTGATTGACAGATAGCCCTCTCTGTATCACAGTGCCAGTTTTATCTGTAATGTCTTCTGGATCATCATCTGGGTCATCTGGTTAAAAATAAGAGAAAATAATTTTTTTATTAATATAATGAAGTATTACCATGTCAAAATATAGTATGGCAGGTTGACTGACTTAAGTCTGGGTTTCTTTCTCGATTTGATTCCATAGTATTTGTCAGCCCAAGAACAATGTGCAAGACAGCAGTTGCTTGATTTTGGAGTTTTCTCTCCTAGATAAATCCCCAACAATGAGCCTCATCTGTCTAGTTGTTCTAATGGGTTTTATTCCTAACCAGCTTTTTTTAAAAAATTTTTTTTTAAATGGACCATGTCTGTTCAGTGCTGGTATATTACATAAAATGATGCTGAGTTACATGTCATTAAATTCAAAGCATAAGGTATACTATTATAGTATTTAAGTTAAAGGATACTACTTACTGAGGATAGATGAAAAATCTAGTTGCATAACTGTCCGTGCATTTTCTGTATCACAGTTTGGATGATAGATGCCAGAAGAACGCATTGATCTACCTGCTGGCAAATATATTTAAATTAAAACTGTTTATCTATATATATAATTCTCTTCTGGGAGACGCTAGAAAACAAGCTGTAAACGCGCTCCTTACCATCCCCACCCCTACATGGTCTTAGTGAGCTGTGGTTCACGCTATGTTTACTTTCGTGGAGTCGGGTTTAGTGACGGCTATTAGGGACAGATAATTTAGTTTGAAACGATTTTAAACGTTGGGGGGGGGGGGGGGGTGTTATGGTCCTTAACGAGCTACTTATAGTGTTTTAAAGAAATATTTTCAGTGTCAGCGTTGTTACTGTCGAATTCACAAATTATGAATTACTGAAAAGTAGAAAAAAAAACAACAACTAAATCGTTGTATATAGTTTAGTATTTACTTCATCTATGTGAACTAATTGTCGTACTGCCAAAAACAACTCATAGTCAAATTGTGCCATTAGTTTGCATTAAGCAAAAACTACATTAAAATTAATAAACATGCACCAACTTCTTGATGTGATGGGTGATAACTCAGGTGATGCAAGGAGATCACTTTCTGATAAAGCATATCCTCTGTCACCTGAAGTGTATCTGATAGGACTTGAAGAAAAATGACCCTAAAAGAAATAAAACAGTTATCAAAAAAAAAAAAAAAATCAAAGCTTGACACCCACCAGATAAGTAATAAAAAACAAGAGAAAATGGACAAATAAACTTACAGATCCACCTGTGTTAGGTGTCTGCTTTTCCCATTCTGGAGTTGTTTGTTTCACTGGAGAGGGAGAGCTGGAAACCTCTTCCATTGGTCTAGGGAAATAGTATTGATTTTTTTAAAAAGTTTTTTTAAAGACACAAAGTAATATTTCAGTATCAATAAAATATTTTATTTGTTCTTTACAAAAAAAAAAAACAAGTTGCTAAACAGGAAATTAGTAATCTGGAGAAATTTAGAGTAATTCAAGTTCTACCATCAACATGTCTTCCAGATAACTTGCTCTAAGCATCTTAAGATTGAGAATTACTTACTGCCAATTGTTTATTTTACAAAAAAGGTCCATCAATGAGATGAATGCAGATGGTATTGGACATGTGACATGATACGATGGATTATCAAAGACAACCAAGCAGGGCATGGAGAAGATGAGGGAGGCAAAGTAGAAAATGGTGAAGGACATAAAGGAATGGACTATCCATTTCGAAATTACTAAAATCAGCAGAGGATTGAGAAGGATGGCAAAGCATTATGACATAATCAACTGTGGTGCACTAACAAACCTCCAGAAAATATGGGATGAAGAGAAAGATAGATCAATACACAAGCTTAATTGTTTAAATAAAATGTTGCTGATTATCTCAAATATACAATTTTTTAAAAAGTAATTAAAACTAATTTACCTAGAAGGCAAAACAGGAGAAGTGAACAAATCGCTGTCATTACTATTGAGTTGATGCAACAGTTTCCTACGTATGAAAGAGTTACCAATAGACTCAACAGAGGGGGAAGAGTCTGTTTTATACTCTGGCAGCAAATATTTTCCTGTATAAAAACACCCATCAATAGTAGTTTTTATGTATGCACTGAAAATACAGTAAATAAAATTGCACAGCCATATACATTTTTACTCTGCTTTAAAATTTATTTGCACTAACCTTCCAACTCCGAAATTAAATCAACATTTGGAGAAACAGACATAGATGTTTGACATGACACTAGAAAAACAAAAAAAAAGATTCTGATTTGGGTACAACCTTCTACATGAATAGTGCGCTTATAATAGTTTCTAATATTTATAAAAAGTGAATAAAAAACTTTTCTCACCTGATCTAACACTTCCAGGTGTACGAGGAAGGATGTGTGTAACTTTTTCACTCCAAGGTGACGGAACAATCACCTCATTGGAGAAAAATTTGTTTATTGCTGACTGAACCCTTGCATCTTGTTCTCTGTCTCTGGAAAAAAATATGTTCTATTTAGTTAACAACATACATGAGTAAAAGAAAACATCACTTCATAAGCTGATGTCAGTGAAAAGGATAAATCACCATTGGGACCATCGGATCTGAACAGGAACTTGAATTTATATCAAGAACAAATATATTTCTAAAAACAAAGATTATTGCAGTGATACACCATCTATTTTTTGTAAAAGATGTTTCATTTGTAATAATTTTATAAAAACTAAACAATATTCAACATTTTATTTGCCCGTAACTGTTACATTGAGAATATTGACTATTAAAGGACAAAATTTATTCTCATGTTTTGATTGAATTTGTTTTCTGTTTACCTTTTTTTTGGTACCCACACTGCACACTCCCTCCCCATCCCCCATTAAAGACATTAAATATGCTTTATAAAATAGGCATGAGTGTATGCAGTGCACAATAGTATTATTTTAAAGTAATGAATTATCAATTGAAGAAAGAAAATGTATTTACGTTTAAATGAAAGAAAATGGTGGAAATATACACTTAAGTTGGGACAAATTTGTCTTTAGCAATTTTTAATTTATAGATTAATACATGATGCCCATTTTGCTACTTAGACTAAAATAATTGATAATTATTAGAGCAAATACTTTTTGTGTTTTACACACATGGCCAATATTGTTTCATGTTGCTGTGTATACAGTTCTGCAGTGTCAAATCATGCCATTTTGGTAGTGTTTTTTTAAATAAATACAAGTGTCTTTGATATTGATTTTAAATTATTTTACATAACCAAAAACTTACAGAAACTACTTACATCTTTTGTTGATAACGATGCTGCCTTTGAAATTCTGCTTCTTTAATTTCTGCAGGCATAATTAAAGCTGCATGCTCCAATGACCAAAATCCCTTTTAAAAATTGGAACATATAGAAATATACTAATAACAGTATTTTATCTACATTAAAAATGAAAATTTTATGACAGCTTTTATAACAGATCAAAATAAAGATGTTACGGGTATTTTAAGACAGACTAGCTAAAAAGGATATAAGAAAATTGAAACACTTCATATCTGACTAATATCACACTGTTAAATATTACCTCTTCTTTCTTCTTTGGTTGAGCACCTGCATTTACTGCTTTAAACATATTAGGACTGAAGATGGGCATATGTAATCTGTCATGATCAACTTCAAACGGGTTGATAAACTGACGTCCGGGGGTAAAGCCATACGATGCAGTACTAGCAGGAGAATGAAGAAGTGGTGTTCCACATCTTGATGGTGTTATCCCTGAAGCCTCATCATTCAGTCTTTGGTTACGATTGGGAGTTTTAAAAATTGTTTGCATATCATGTGAAGTCAAACCTGATATAAAAGTTTAGGAATGAGTTTAGTATATTGTATATAAATAGTAAAACAATAAGGAAATCATACTGAATCACCAAGGTTTACAGAAGGTAATGGCAGAATCCTAAAATTACAACTTAACCTCAGTGTTAATCACTTACCAAGTCGTTCGTAATATCCATGAGAAGAAGGGGATATGAAAGAGGGCACTGTGCATGTTTGGGAACGGTTTGAATTTGCATTTGTATCTCCACCATCTGTAAAACAACAAACATAGATCTATTTAAAAATCATTTTTTTAAAATTTGTTACAAAAAATTTTTTTTTTTAGTTTTAACAAATACATTTTTAAAATAACCAATATTTTAAATTACCTAAGTTTGGACCATTCAACCTCATAGATCCACTACTTGGGCTAACAGTTACAGTTGGGGTGCCGGTAGCATTAGTGCAAACTCTTACTTTTGTCCTTGGCTCTGGGTGTTCTAAATAGGGAATATAACAAAGTGACATGCACAACAAGATCAATAGGCTTCTTATACAATATAAATGTTTGTGAAACACGTTACAGAGAATTTATAATGACAATAAACACTAAATTGATATCTTACCATCATTTGTTGTGAATGTTCTTTGAACAAGCAGCTGCTGTCTAATATCACCAGAAGTCTGATACTTAAAAATGAAATGTCCATCAGTGTTTGGTTCTGAGTCCTTTTTTTCTACTTTTGGATCCAAATACTCACTTGCCTCATCAGATCTAAGATTATCATTACTACTTTTTACAGTGGCAGAATTTGAAGTGCCCCCACACTCTGGACTTAAGTCTTGTGAAGCTATGAAACCAGACATGGTTTATTCAGTTGCTTGCCATAACTAAATTGGTGCAAAAGCAGTTTTTGCTGAGGTAAAGAAAAATTTAATAATTATTGACAAATTAGACATACAACAGGTGTGTTTAGTACTAACTTGTCAAGCTAAGAAAAGTAGGCCTATATAATCAATTTGTTAATTTGAAGAAAATATAGACATACTCAGACATACTGTAATCTTGTGTAAAGAAGACAGCAATTAATCAGTAGAGATTATGCCTCTTATTTTTTCTGCATTATTATAGTGACAGTATATTATATAATAAGCCTAGTAAATAGTAGTAGTATTTAGGCCTAAGTTGTTTCTCAACAACTATATGTTTATTACATCTAATTTTATATTTGGGTGTTGGTAAATAGCATGACGCGAAACACAAAATGCTTTTGGTGGTTTGTTTTTTCTCCAGATGTACAAAAAGTAAAGTTATAATCTAAACAAGTAGATATCACAAGTGTTTAATGTTGAAGTGTTTTCAAAAATATTTTTTCCTGATCTAGGTTAGATGTATTTAAGTATTTAAAAATCACATTTTCTTGTCAGAGAGAGAAAAATCCTGAATAAGTTAAAGGGTCACTGTGAGTTCATAAAGAGAATATTATTTTAGATTATATTAATATTTTGTGAAATCAATATGTAGATCTATATATTTAATCCTAAACATTGTCAGTCTCTTCTCACAGTCAGTGGGATACAGAAACATATGTCACAGCTTGAACAATAGGCTAAAAGCATTTAGACAAAAGTGCTTGGGTTCATTTGAGTTCATATAATCTTGTCGGTGGGAGAAATATTCATCTACATTGCTAACATTAGGCTGATACCTTTAGTACTTTAAATAAATTGTTGCCAGCGGTAATAATAATACAACATTTCTTTGAAACAATACATAATTTGTTTGTGGCAGCAGCAGCTTTGAGCACAGTGATGGTCAAATGCAATATTTTGGGTGGCTTCGGTGTTCTACACAAACTTCAAAAGTAGTATTTGGTGGTTTGAATTAAGGTGGAATTCTAAGTCGACACAAAAGAAAGAAACTGATATAAGGGGTCATCCATAAATGACGTCATGCTTTTTTGACAATTTTTACCTCCCCCCTCCCCTCCGTCACAAAAAGCCAGACCCCCCTAAAATGATGTCACACCTCAGCCTACAACCCCCCCTCAAAATTGCAGTAGAATTTTTTCCAAAACATCAATATTTTTCCAAAATCTTGTCTGAACTCTGTCAAAATAGAGTATTTTAATAAATTCCTATTACAATTTATTATAACAGTTTTCTAAAACACGAAATAATGTCTAAAATTCATTTTCTAACATTGCTTTTTTATAATGCAAAAGTGTGACGTCGCACCATCTGAACCCCCGACTCCCCCTCATCACACATCGTCACAAAATTACGGACCCCCCCTTCCCCCTATGAGTGGCACATCATTTATGGACGACCCCTAATCATCAGCACATCTAGCGATGAAAAAACCCCAGAAGTTATAACAATACATTATACAAACAAGTTACAAGTGTCTTTAACGTCTGCATCAAAGTTTATTGTAAATTCAAAAGTAAATTGGGCTCAGATATCTTCCCAATTTCCCCCCACCCAGTTTAAGTTTCAGCTAGATATAATAGTAGATCTATATATTATAGTATATAGATAGTATATAGGCACAGGTGTTAAGATGTGAGACAAAAATGTCATGTGACTTGACAGTTTTCATACCCTTCTGGCGATTTACTGCCTAGCCCTGGTTCACAATTACTGAGTGTGACACTTGTCTTGGACTATTCTAGTTTCTAGACTCTAACTAAGAGTCTAAGAGTCTAAGACACTCTAAGACTAGATTTAGAAATTTCATTTAATGATTAATGAATTTAGTTTAGATCTAGAAAAACACACTTCACCACACTGATAACAATATTAGGTAATCTATCGTTTTGGGTACGTAAAATCGCCCGCGGCTAGTAATGTACGAAAAAGTTACCTCATTGTCAAGGCTTTAATAGAAGTATATTTTGATATATTTGTGTCAAATATTATAGATAAATGAATAAATAACCTAAATCAATAGCTAAATATATCAATATAGGCAAGAAATTAACTTTTAACAGCAGTGTTTGCGAGCAGGATTTCCTATATAAACAGCAGCCATTTGTAAAATAGAGTTGCCTTCCCCTGATCTCGCGCTATAAATTAACAGAGAAAGAACTTAAACAAGATGGCTGCTAGAGTAAATGAGCATGGTTGCATCTGTTGGAAACATCGCTAGTATTCATTTATTATTGAAAAGTTTTAATTCAATTGTTTGAAAACAGGTACATAAATGAAACAAGGAAACATTTTTGTATTTTTCAAAACACAAATCCTCCTCAAAATGTGAAATAATTATTAAAATTTAAGGAGTCACCTGTTTTTCACATTACTAGTCGCGGGCGATTTTAGGGTGTGGGGAAACTGCGAGACGCGAAAAGCGAAATGGCGAGTCGGGAAAATGCGAGAAGGGCGCGAAAACGGTCGGTCACGTGACTTTTTGTCTCGCATTTTACCACAAGCCGATACTTACGCTGGGTGGTGTTGAAATGCGAAGATTTCTGCGAAAATTTTACCGCACCCGATTTTCAGTGGTATTTGGTCCAGACTTCAAAGACGTTTCGTTTACATTGTTAAAACTTTCGATTTTTCCGTCGCTAGACATACTGATGATTTGTCTCCCCCCATCTTTTGTGTCGACTTAGAATACCACCTTGTTCGAAACCGACGGAAATACCGCCGACGATAGATCAACTTCTGTCTTTTGTGTGGAACGCCGAGGCCGCCTGATTTACCGTCTTTGAAGATCGCCGTGCCCGGATCCGCTGCCGCCGCAAACATATTTTCTATTGTTGCATAGAAATTTTGTATTATAGCCGCCGCCTACGATTTTTTTCTAGCTTTTTTTACCATATAAATCTAAGCACAAGGAAATGCCTACATCATTTGGATACAACAAAATAAAGTGACGTCACCGATATTATCAGTTGCTCGTGCTATATCGTAAGCTATGGGCCTACTTCAAATATTTTTAAAACCAAGTTGAATTTATCTGAATTTTTTGGTTTTGGTGTTGGTGTTATTTGGAGTCTTCCATAAATGACGTCACACTCGTAGGGGGGGGGGTCTGTAATTTTATGACGATGTGTGATGAGGGGGAGGAGGGGGGGGGGTAGATGTGAAGTCACACTATAAAAAAGCAATGTTAGAAAAAGAATTTTAGACGTTTAATCGCGTTTTAGAAAACTGTTTTAATACATTGAAAGAGGAATTGATTAAAATACTCTATTTTGACCGAAAGTAGACAAGATTTTAGGAAAATATCGATGTTTCAAAAAACTCAACTGCTGGTTACAACAATGAGCAAGACATTGCCAAAATTACAGAAATGATAAAAAATACAAATTATAAAAAACGGAAAACAGATGTTGAGCGTGCGGATGATGATGAGAACATGGGTGCCAGTGTTGTTTGTGGGATGAACGAGGAGGTCAACTGTGATGAGAATGTGAAATGTTGTGAATGTGGATTGGTAGCAAAAGAAAAATGTATAAATGGGAGTCTAATGAACTTGGTTGGGTATACTATGTGTGAAAGATGGCGTCACGAGGTGTTGTTGAGGACTGTTTCAGAAGATTTTGTTTGTAAATTTTGTTTGTAATTAAAATTACTTAATAAAAAAATAAATTGCACTTTTTAGAATTGTTTATACTTTTACACTTTTTGCAAGTACAAAAATCCATAAATAGATTTTGCAAAATATCTCTCCTGCTGACAAGATTATACCAATTCACAATGACACAGCTCACGTTTGTATAAACATGAGCGGGCTAGATTTTTAAATTAATGCCGACTGAGACGGGATTTTCCTCTCGCTAACAAGAGCGGGCGATGACAGTAGCACAGCAACGATGTTAGGATTTTTAAATAGATAGATCTAGATATAGATCTATCTATCTTCTTAGTATCTAGATAAAAAATAACAACATACAACACTCGTGTTAAAGGGTATGGCTAAATGCTTGTTTATTTTAAAACAAACAAAAAATAATTTAAATAAATAAAGATGGAAAAAAAAGGAAAAAACTTTTTTCGCAAAAAGTGTCTCGCTATTTACCCTTAATTCCGCAGGTATGTCTCGCATTACCTTCTCGCATTTTCCCGCTTCGCCATTTCGCTTTTCGCGTCTCGCAATTTCCCCAAATATACCCAAAACGATAGATTACCCAATATTAATATTAATTATTTTAATTAGGCCTAGTAATAATAGGCCTAATTTTAATTAAACTACCTTTTCATATGTCTATTACATAATCTAGATTCTAGATCTAGATCTATTCTATAGTTATAGGCCTACCGTGTATATCGAAATCAGACTCAAAATTAACTCGATCATTCATTGGATTGGATAATGGATAGCCTATGTTTAAACTTGCATTAGCTAGTTCCGTTTCTGGTAATAATGTTTAAATTTTTTAATAGTTTTAGTAAGCTTTTGTTGCGATTTCTTAAAATCTTTAATCGGAATAAGACTATTTTTCTCGGATTTAAAAAAAATAATGTCAGAGATTAGACAGATTGAGATTAGATTACTAATCTGAGTAATCTAGAGAAATCTAGACTCTAGATCTATATTAATTAGTGATCAAATCTAGATTCCGGCTCTAGATCTAGATTCTAGATCTATTCCAAGGCTAGAATCTAGAAAAGAAACCTCAATACTCAATATATTTTAAAATAAAATTGCAGATCCATTTCTTCTCGGTAACTGTTTGTGTTTTGTTTAAAGTTTAAATAATTAAATTAAATTAATACATTAAATTACTAGATCTATTAGTCTATTAGTATTGTATGCCTAATAATAAAAACTAAGTTAGTTAAAATATAGAATAGGCCTAATACTAGTAATAGCAAAAAATAAGAATAAGTTTATCTACTCTAGCTAGATCTAGGCCTATAATAATTAATATCATATCTACTATAGTGGTAATCTATCGTTTTGGGTACGTAAAATCGCCCGCAACTTGTAATGTGAAAACCAGGTGACTACTTAAATTTTAATAATTATTTCACATTTTGATGAGGATTTATGTTTTTTAAAATACAAAAATGTTTCCTTGTTTCATTTATGTACCTGTTTTTAAACAATTGAATTAAAACTTTTCCGTAATAAATGAAGACTAGCGATGTTTCCAACAGATGCAACCATGCTCATTTACTATAGCAGCCATCTTGTTTAAGTTTTATTTTTATAAGCTTTTAGCGCCAGATTCAGGGGGAAGCCACTCTATTTTACAAATGGCTGCTGTTTATATAGTAGCAAATCTTGCTCTCAGACACTGCTGTTTAAAGTTAATTTCTGGCCTAAATCGATACATTTAGCCATTGATTTAGGTTTATTATTCATTTATCTATAATATTTGACACAAACTTATGACAATATACTTCTATTAAAGCCTTGACAATGAGGTAACGTTTTCGTACATTAATAGCCGCGGGCGATTTTACGTACCCAAAACGATAGATTACCACTATAGTTTCTATTATAATCTCCCTATAGTATAGTAGTATGTAGCTTTTTCTGACAGGGGCAGACAACCTACCTCAAAATCTCACCATGAAAAAATGTTGTGTTTTTAAAACTAATATTGGGGGTACTCTCTGGTTTTTTGGAAATAAAAAAGTACTCTACTGGTAACTGTTTCCTGTCATTTCTACCATGTTTTTTGAACAGGAGAGGATCAGCTCTTTAATTCTATGCATAGGCGACTATACTCAGTACTGTAACTGTAACTTGCATGTAGATCTAACTATTATTGGTAATCTGTCGTTTTAGGTATGTAAAATCGCCCGTGACTTGTAATGTGAAAAACAGGTGACTCCTTAAATTTTAATAAATTAATTATTTCACATTTTGAGGAGGATTTATGTTTTTTAAAATACAAAAATGTTTCCTTTATTTTAGGGCTCGTTATAATGATTAGGCCTATTCATTATAATTATAATATATTAGTATTAGTTAGTCATTGAATAATTAGTCATTAATCATTATTAACTACTTGACTTATGTTGTAGTATAATGTACTTAATATTAAATATTTTATGTAGGCCTAGCCTTGTCATAATTTATTAAGTAATTAAGTTAGTATTAACTATGTCTATAAACATAGTTTATTAAACTACATATCATGGCATATTATACTCATATAACTATAGTAAATAAATAGTAGGCCTATAGTTAAGTAGAGTATAGAGTGATAGTGTATAGAGTTGAGTATTGTCATTAGACTTTATAGTTTATACTCAATATACTCATTATACTGTGATTATACTTATAGTATTATTTTGTTTATAGGCCCACTGATAGTTATAAATCTAGTACCATATACTCTATATACCAAATGATAGTAGTCTAGGACTTTGATCTAGGTCTGTTATTAGAATTCCATGCCTGCCTGTTACACTATAAATGCTCCTTACTATTACACAATGGCATTAATAGGCTTACATTTAAAAAAACAAACAAGCAACAATGGAATACTAAATCTAGATCTAAAATTATTGATGAATTATAACTATGTCTAACTTGTTTTGCAAGTAACATTAGTGCCTAATCTTTTACATTTCTTACATTAACCATAATCTGGAATAATTCTTGAATGATTCTGTTGGCCCACATTCTCACTACATGCCTAAATATTTAAAACTGTTCCTAATTGTAGTTTTTAAATAAGCCTTCGTAACTTTTAATACTGTTCACAGAAATATTGAATCAAGACAAATCTGCTTGTAAAGATGGCATCTAATCAGAAACAAAAATCACCAGCAGCATCTGAAACCATGGACAGTATGTATTATCGTACAAATATTATTTTCCTTCCTCGTCTATTAATAACTTTATCTTATATTTTCAATAAACTTTATGAGAAAAAACATTAACAAAATCCCTTAGCCTTAGTACATATAGAACCATGATCACTATTGTAGTTCTTCCCTTTATTAAAACTACTTTTCTACTTGAGTTATATATTACATGTCTAAAGAGTAGATAAAATTCAGTTTGAAATAATGCCTCTACTTAACTACCAAATTATGTGTTTATTTTTAAGATTTAACTTTTTATGACAGTTCTCATGGAAATGTCACGACTACTTAATACTGGTCTGGATGAAGAGACAATGGCAGTGTGCCTGAGGCTCTGTGAAAACGGCATAAACCCTGAAGCCCTGGCAGAAGTTATCAAGGAGTTGAGGAGAGAATCTGCGAATGTTAAAGTGAGTTGAAATAAAATATGAATATTTCATGAATAATGTAAATCTCAAAGGATTAAAAGAAACATTAAGTTGTGAAAAAGTAATTCTCGCTAATATCAATAAAGCATTAATTGTATACAAGATGTTTTGTTTGTTGACATACTTTCAATAAGATGGGGAAAATATTTTAAATCAAACATTTTTATTTAGCACAAAGTTTGATTAGGATTAAAAGAAACATAAAATGGTGAAAAAGTAATTCTCACTAATATTAATATAGCATTAATTGTATACACGATGTCTTGTTTGTTGATATACTTTCCATAAGATGGGGAAAATATTTTAAATCAAACATTTTTATTTAGCACAAAGTTTGATGCCATGTTTTTTTTTACAGGCTAATGAATCAGGAAATACAACATAAAGTCATCTTATACCATTGACAGTTTTACATTGTATATTGTAAATAATTTACATTCTAGTAATTCTAAGAATATAAAATATACAAAAATAAAAATATTTTGTTTAATTTTACACTTGTTAACATTTTTAAAAAAATGCTTCACATAGCCTATTACAATAAAAGAGTTAAATAGCTTAAAGCCCTGGTAATTAATTGGGCGAATGAAAGACCGTTCATCTCCTTCTTTGATATCCGCATATGAAAAATGTATATGCTCAACACTTTACCTGACTAGACAGATATTGCTGGGTGGACTCAACAATGGATGCAAGCTCAAAAATGAAATTTAACATTTGTGGTCGGTTAGCAGTCTAGTTTTCTAACACCTACATTTAAAAAATATACAATAATGTTTCTTATTGCTGATTCATTGATTTCTCATTTTATATTTATTTATATTTGTATCATGTTGAACAAGGGACGTAACTACTACATTGAAACAGTATATACATTTTTTCGGTGGTCTCCCTCTCAGGATCCGAAAAAATTCGCTCACCACACAACGATCTAAGTTAGACTAAGACAGGCTTATCGTTACTGGTGATAGTTGTCTAATAAAAATAACCTATAATATTTAGATTTTGTAAAACGAGATACAATATACAAATCTAAAGAAATTAAACAAATCTGGTGGTGTGGACTTCTCACACGGATCCACAACATACAATATGAAATGCGGATCTAACTGAATGAACTACACAATCTTTCCGTCGGACTCATTTGAAAAAAATGTGTATACACAAAAAAGTTACAATTTGCACCCACATACATAATTTATATATATATATATATATATATATATATATATATATATATATATATATATATATATATATATATATATATATATATATATATAAGCCTTCTCCACAATAATTTCACAGCTTAAAATTATAGTTTTAGCTTTAATGACATTCTGAAAACTGAAAGCGAAAAGTGTGCGCAGGTACTCAGCCATTTAGATTGTATGTTGGGGAGATCTACACCAGTGGACCCAGTCTGGTGTAGAAGAGAGGGACCTCACCAAATGATAAGGCCATTTGTTTTTGTCTCATTATCCAGTCTGCGTAAAGCATCTTCACTATTAAAAGTGTACTGAACATTATTATTTTCTAGCTTTTGAAACACGAACATTGAACAAGCGCCGTGCAAGTTCCTTGCGTGTCCGCCTCTCACATCCCGGATGTTTCTGGGACTTTCACAGAAACCTGAGATATTACGTAACTACCTAGGAACCCCAACGGCCAAAATCATCTTTGAAAGAGCTAAGACGCGTTAACCGTTTGGTTAGGAGATTTCTATGCCGAGTCGTCCAACCGCGTCGTCGTGAAAAATACTTCTCCTCAAATCTCGAAAAAATATTTCGGGGGGGGGGGGGGGGGGGGGGGGTTAGACACGGGGCTTACAATGACAAGTGATGGGACGAAAGGCTGTGATGTTGCCATTGTGACGCTCTCTATCGTGGTGTCAATAGGTGGGGCTACGCCCTATGTTGTAATTCTGGGCGTGACCTCCACAGAAATGACTATACATATATATATATATATATATATATATATATATATATATATATATATATATATATATATATATATATATATATATATATATATATATATATATATATAGGTGTATGCTTCAAGCAAAACAAACACTTTTTTAATTTAAAAAAAAGATAAACCAAAAAGTCGCAATGTGAAAGAATATAATTGTTACCAAAAATTTGACTTTATTGTGTTACTCGCATTGTTGACATGTTTAGTATATCATCATCTTTTCCGTTCGTGCCCAACACACATAGTGCGGATGTAGTAGAGTTCATCTGTTTCAGTCAACTCGGCATACAAGGTGATAATATTCTCATCACTTGGTCCTTAGATTCCTACTCACATCCTCAGTTGTCTAACCAGGTGACATGAACACCACTGAGTCTTATATTGAACACTAACACCATTTTTAAAGGATAATATTTAATGAGCAGCTTCATAATTTATATAGTCGTAGTGTCAAGAATTGCAAAATGAGACATGTAGACATATTAGCCATTTGGCATTTACGGCTCTTCTTTACGCAGAAGCGATATGTACCATGTTTAATTAACGGATCAATTGATGGTTGAAGTTGAAGAAAAATGACCGTCCTGTTACTGAATGAAATAGTTCTCGAAATAATGAATGAAAATTAAAACTTTTTATTGCTAGAAACAATATTACTTATTTATTTCCTTATTTATTTTTAAACGTATTTAGATCTTTGTCCCAGTACACTAAAAAAAAGTCCCTGTCACTATCCGTGTTAAAGATAACATTTAATTTTAAGTCAGCAGTTCACCACAGTAGTCTCCCCTTGCATAACAATAGAGTTACCTGTCCTAGTCTTCCAGACGACACGATAGTAGAGATGAACCAGACACATGCGAGTAATCATTGATTTCTTCTAAGAAATCTGCCAGGAAGAGCAGTTAAAACGTGCTGTTTTAGCTTACATTGGCCTATTTAATGCGCAACTAGCGCTTCGATTATTCGTTTTCACTGGCTGCAAACATTTTATTTCATATCCAAATTCGCTGAAATCTTCCGTTACAGTAACTCTGGCTAGAGTAGATTAAGGTAAGTTTTAAATTATTTTAATGCCTGTTTTCTTTGTTGTTTTCTTATATTTATGTGAGAAGATAATCTGGTTTCGTGTTAGAATTGGATACATTATTTCGCATCTTTTAAAACTATTTAGTTAGGTTGGCGATATTAGTCTATGAATACAGAGGCGTAGCGCCCCATTCCAACGCCCGAATCGAACGAGATTCTAAAAACTGAATAATTATTAACATTGACAATAGCAAAAAAAGCCCCCCCCCCCCTCAAGGTAGAAAAGTTCGGGGCGCTTTTTACTGTCACTGTAAAAGCCCTAATGACTTTTATGTTGGTGTTACATAATTGATGTAGGAAACAGTTAAATGAGCCCGTAAAACCGACTAACGGTCTATTTACTTAACTTCGACTGTGCATGATCAGTGTTTCTTCCAGACTTTTTTCTCCGGGGGGGGGGGGGGGCACTTGAAATTTTCGGGGGGGGGGGGCGGTAGACTTTCTTCGGGGGGGGGGGGGCGGACACTGTTAAAAGTATATATTTTCTATATAAACTATATACATTTCATTTCGTTCGGGGGGGGGGGGGGGGGGCCTGGAAGAAACTCTGTGCATGATTTAGTTATGTAGCTCAAAATGAGCTTTAAAAAAATAAATCTTTTCTACTCCGTTCGGCGCCCCTCTAAGGTCGGCGCCCCACCCGCCGTCCCCTAACTACGCCTTTTTATGGATATGCTAATCTAAAAAATTATGTTGACAAATATTGATTCTTGATGGGTTTTTTTCTTTTTTAAATCACGTTTTTTAAAAAAAAATTCCCACTTGGTCATCCTTTTAATATTTACATCTTCGTGATTTAGTTATCACATGACTTTGGCAAAGAACACATCAGATGGCCTTTAGGTTGCTGAGATACATTATAGTGCCTTTGCCTGGGTTTTAAAGCACACACACATTTATTCCCACGCACATTCACGCCCGCACATAGGCAAGCACAAGCACACACACATACACACACACAATCACCCAATCTCACACACCCCACATATACCATTCTTACAAAGACGCCCCACTGTCTTGTATCAATTATCTCCTCATTAAGTAATAAAGTTCACATCCTGGTTGAGTTTCAGGAATTAAAAAGTTTTTTAAAAGCTCCGTGTTATATTATCTTAGAGATTAATTTTATTGCTTTTTTTTAAAAAATTGCATTTAAACCGCATTTGTGATGACGTCAAATTTTGAATACCCCCCACTTCCCTGTTACTTAAATTGTAACGATATGTACATACACTCGTTATATATGGACGCAGTATATGGACTATAGTCGAGCTGTCGGTGCTTATTTTAGAATTTTAATGTGTTTTTTAAGGTTGACTGTAAAATGAAAATACGGATCGTCTGATGCAGATATTCAAAGCCTTCAGTACAAACATTTTTTTCTTTAATCACCCGAACACTTATTATTTTATCACCAAGATCACCAAGGTATTTATAATTATAGAACCATTGCTATGAAAACTACATTGTTTCATTTATCCATCAGTTGATCAGTTGTATCATACTTACAACTTTTTATTTTTATCTGCCCGCTCCTCTTTTATAAAAGTTTATAAAAGTTTCTTATTGACAAATAGCCAACAATGTTCAGTGTTCCTTCCAGACTTTTTTTCTCCGGGGGGGGGGGGGGGGGGGGGGGGGGGGGAAGAGGGGGGGGGGGGCACTTGAAATTTTTGGGGGAGCGGACTAAAATTTCCGGGAGGAGGGGGTGGGGCGGTGGACACTGTTAAAAGTATATATTTTCTATATAAATTCCATTTCGTTCGGGGATGGGGGGGGGGGGGGGGGAGAAACACTGTTCCCTATTATCAGGAAAATAGATATCTATTGATTTCAATGTGTTAAATGTTTGTTCAACCGTAACCTAATAAAGGAGTAAAGTAGATTTGGGGGGAAAAGGATACCACTACTACTAGTTAAACTGAATAATGGATTACTTTCAATACTATTTATTTTAAGAATACTTTTACTGCAATTTTACCAAGAAGATAATCTGTACTATTGTTAAAGATAATAAGCTTATCATTACCGCTTTTAAATACTCTGATGAATGAATGTTTCAGTTTTATTTTGCAAGCTATCAATTTCGCACTTAATCGTTAAATACTTTCATCCACACCTCCCACACATTGGATATTATCCAGTGCAATCTAGCTTTAAAAAGGTTATGGGTCAACTTGCACATAAAACCATGAATAGCCGAAGCCGTGGCAATAGAAATGTTCACTGTGAACGTTTTAAATGTGTATATTTTACGAGACTGGCTTTATGGTTGAATGAACGAACTGCACCTATAAGGTTCATTAGTAGATCTTAGTTCTTCCAGTGTGGGTTGTAGGTTGTAGGTTGCATCTACTTTAGTTCATTAGTAGATCTTAGTTCTTCCAGTGTGGGGTGTGTGGGTTGTAGGTTGTAGGTTGCATCTACTTTAGTTCATTAGTAGATCTTAGTTCTTCCAGTGTGGGTTGTAGGTTGTAGGTTGCATCTACTTTAGTTCATTAGTAGATCTTAGTTCTTCCAGTGTGGGGTGTGTGGGTTGTAGGTTGTAGGTTGCATCTACTTTAGTTCATTAGTAGATCTTAGTTCTCCTAGTGTGGGGTGTGTGGGTTGTAGGTTGTAGGTTGCATCTACTTTAGTTCATTAGTAGATCTTAGTTCTCCTAGTGTGGGGTGTGTGGGTTGTAGGTTGTAGGTTGCATCTACTTTAGTTCATTAGTAGATCTTAGTTCTCCTAGTGTGGGGTGTGTGGGTTGTAGGTTGTAGGTTGCATCTACTTTAGTTCATTAGTAGATCTTAGTTCTCCTAGTGTGGGGTGTGTGGGTTGTAGGTTGTAGGTTGCATCTACTTTAGTTCATTAGTAGATCTTAGTTCTTCCAGTGTGGGGTGTGTGGGTTGTAGGTTGCATCTACTTCAATTCATTTATAGATGAGTGTATGCTGTAAGTTTTCCTTACTCCAGTTTATGTAGAGATCTTGTTTCCATCAATGTAGTTGTAGTTAGCGTTTACACCAGTTAATTTATAGATCTTCCGTCTACCAATGTAGATTTTAATTTATTTGTAGGTAAGACCCACTTCAGTTAATTTATATAATTTGCGTCAACCAATGTAGGTTGTAGGTTACTCCTACGCCAGTTAACTCACACATTTTAGTCTATAAATGTAGGTTGTAGTCTGTCCTTGTAGTTATTGCTGCAGATCTTTACAAACGTAAGTTACTTGGGTGAATAGGGAAGGAAGGGGGGGGGGGGGGGGGCTTTGGTTTTAGAGATCGACAAACTTGTGGAATTGTGTGTAAGGGATGTGTGGGTTGTGGTAGAAAGTGGGTACATGTTTGTGTGTCTTGATGAGACATGTGTAAAGGGAATCTGGGAAAGAGGTGAAATATGAGATGTTTACGCGTGTGTTGTGTAAGGAGTGTGTGTGTGTGTGTGTGTGTGTAGGACAGATGTGTGGGTGTGCAGTGCGATGGTAATGCACAGAAAACAAAATGTGATTGATGTTTTTAAAATACGAAGCAATTAAAATAAGAAAATGAAAGATTAAATTACTTTGATAGTTTTTATTTATATTGATCTGAAACTCGAGCTATGATTTGTTTTTTTGTTGTTATTCTTCTTTATTTTTATTCTTTAAACACATTTATGTTTAAGTATCGTCAACTACAAGAAAAAGGAAGTATAGAAACAATATGCCAGGGAAGTTCTCGTTGTCAAAAACGGAAAGAGTTCTAAATAAAAAACCCAATCATGACAAGGTTATCAAATTTGTTGATATGTGGGCTTATATTTGACACTATAAAAGGTCGGTTCAGCAACCGCAAGTTTACCCATATTGTTATTTAAAACAAGTAGCTATAAAAATATATTCTAATATGCAAAATAAAGCTCACCTCAGTGCTGTAAAGGAATTATTGTGTTATAATGATAAGAGATATATATGGCTACCATTTTTTACAGCAGTCTTGGCCTGGGGAGGTAATATACATACACACACATACATACATACACTCACACACACATATACGCACACCCACACCCACATATATATATATATATATATATATATATATATATATATATATATATATATATATATATATATATATATCAGACGACGTCGCCATCTCTCTGTCCTTGGACAGATTTAACCTCCTAAGTAACTATAATGCACAAGCCTCAGAGCGCATACCTTTATATAAATCTTTATTTACTAACCAAATATAGCCAAGATGTTTTAACGTCCGTTTAATAAAAAAAAATTCACCTATTGTATTCTCACGTGGACGGCAAGTAGAGACGGGAGCAGGGACACAGATAGTGTAAATACGAGCCGAGTTACGCTAAAGCACGATATGTGACGATGTCAGGTCCAATATCTCTTTGAAGTTGTCACTGATAATAAAACATCGTCCAGAACAAGCTCTTATAGATAACACACTATACAAGTGTGACGTTTATTGCCGCAGCTGAATATATTATATTTATATTGTTTTATAAGAAGAGTTAGATTATGTAATATATATATATATATATATATATATATATATATATATATATACATATATTGAATTTAGATGTGAAGTCTTTTCTAAGTTGTTGCATTAGTCCTAGCTAGCCTGACACAGTTAGATGTTAATCTTTATTTCCTTTTACGTTTCCCTTACCTTTTTTACAATCATCTTCTTTTTATTACACAATCTGGACTTATTTATATTCCGTAACAGTGGCATAGCCAGGAATTGGTCTTGGGAGGGGTTCAAATATTTTTCCATATGTATAAAATCATAAATATATATATATATATATATATATATATATATATATATATATATATATATATATATATATATATATATATATATATATATATATATATATATATATATATATATATATATATATATATATATAAGGGTGTGAGTCCATGGGAGGGGTTATAACCCCCCCCCCCCCCAACTACCTTGC